CAGCTCTTTTGTCAGAGCAGATACAGGTATGCCGACCTAAAGACTGTCAGCACCAGATCCCCAAGGTCCGTGCTTTTAACAATTCCCTCAATGTCTGGTGTCGACAAAGTTATCTCTGCAGATTCCCTGCATTTTCCCATCCATAAATCATAGGCGCCTGCTCCCAAAAGACACCTAGACCCCTAGATTATCTAATTAGCATCGTTGGCATTACTTTCCCACACTCCTTTTCCATATAAGCACAACACCATCTTCACTATCTTATAGGTTCCCTAAAGCCCCTTGCCTGCTTTTGCTACCATGTTAAAATGAACTTTGTCACTTGACTAAGGGAAGGCTTCAGTGTGTCAATTCATTCCAGGCAACACTGCCTTGGCATTCTCAGGTCCAGAGAGGTTAAAATAACTTGTCTAAGAAGTGTCCATTGTTATCTAGGAAGAAACAAGGAAAGTCATAGTGCAGTATTTTAAGGAATAATATTTCTTCAATACCCAACAGATTATGGGGGTGGTTTTTAACTTTTCCTCTTTTATTAATGCAAAGCAGCAATTCATAATTCTGTGCCGTGGTGGATATTATAAGAGGTAACCATTATCTGGATCCGCCATCAATGTCACATTGCCATGCAAAGTGAATTTCTCCAATTATTTCCAACTCTATTTATTCTTCCTCAGGTGTGTGTCAGTGGACCATCAAACAGCTTTTCATGCTTATTTCATGCTTGGCTGACTGATGGAATGCCTCATCTTATGCTGCATTTCTGCTGCCTACTCATGGCTCCATTCTTTCCTTGGAAAAGTATTGATATCATAACCTCTTTGAATCACAGAACTTTAGAACCGAAAGGAAGTCACCTAGACCAACCCTTATCATTTAACAGATGAGTAAAGAAAGTCTTCGAGGGGTTAAAGGACTTTCTGAAGGTCACACAATTACCTGAGACTCGAACCCAGGTCCATAAATGATACAGGTCTTATTTCTCCCATTCCAATGAACATTCTATCACACAGCTATCTCTTGAAGAGATGTAATTTATTTTGTTATAATTTCATTATGTTTTAATTATACCTTCCATTTTTGACAACTTATTCCTCCTCTTCTGGCTCCCCTCCCCACTGCCCCCCACCTCCACCCCAAGACATCCCTTATAGCAAAGATTTAAAGAGAACCAACACATCAGAAGTGAATAGGAAGGCATGGTTATTAAAGGTCTACCCAAGGCCTGGGCATAGACTTTTAGATCTTTTAGAACATCATTAAAAACTGGGAAGGCAGAGAGTAGTGAACATGATGCCATCAGTTTTTCTGTTACCACATGTACCTTTCCGGATTCTAAAAAATGTTAGCTAGCTAGCTGATAACAGCTTACATGAAAACATATTTTAAGTAGATGATGGTTCATTTGAAAAGTAGAATGAATGACTATGTGTCTGTGCCTATTGACTATTGCAGGTAGGCTTTTGATTAAGGTTATTTTTCTAAACTTCCTTTTCTGACAATTGAATTTATGATATCATAGTTTTGCTTTAAGTATTTGCTCCCACTGCTTGGAACCTAACAATTAACAGAGTAAAAATCTAAAACCTTCTAAGGCTCTTAATTTCGTATAAGAATTCCTGATTTGTATTGTGGATCTAAGAATAATTTAGACAGTTGGTTTTTTTTTAATGTTACATTTATCTTACTGGGTTTCATCTAATTGCTTTTAAATATCTTGTCAATTTTATATTGAAATATATGTGCAGTTAATTATGAATGTTGATCATAAATGTTCATTTCTCATTCTAAGAATTCAGAAGTTCATGCTTTTCTATTTTTGCAAATCTACTACATTCTAGGACTAGGTTTTTAACCATGTTGGGATGTGTATTATGCTGTCTCTTGCGGGGGAGGGGTGAAGAATAGAATGAGAAATTACTCTTCTTTTATGTAGACCAGTTGGTAATAGTCTGTGAGCTTTGAGTGAAAAGAGTTTGTTAATTTGACCAGTTCCATTCCAGCAACTCTTAAGCATATTGATTTGTCACTCCAGAGGTCAAATTCATTTATCCCATTTGATATGCATAAATTCATTTTATTGCAGCAAATTATTTCTGTGATTTGACTTGCACATTAAGTGATTCCTTTCTCTAAACCAATGTCCTTATTTCTTGAGTAATAATCCTCTCTTTCTATTCTTTTGCTAATGTGAAATTTCTTCCCAGATTTTGCTTTTTCTAACTGTGCTCTTCCTCTTGAGGGATTTGGGAAGTGGGTGAGAATCTCTTGTTAGGGAAAACAAAATCCAACCACTCGAAACAAATTACAGTTTTCCTCTAAGGGAAATTGCCCAGAATCTATATCTGCTGCAACTTCACCCCTTGATGAATAGACCTCTTGGCCTGGGAGGCCGTAAGTGGAAGATGTTGCCACAGGAAATTTTACAAGGAGAAAAGTTGTTCAAAGAAAGTGTATGTTAAGTGCTTTTTTTAAAAAGGGAGAGACTGCCAAGTGTTGCTTTAACTAGATGATGCTTATTCTCTCCCTGTAATGACTGGCAGTTTTTGGTTCTCTGTAATGCTGTCTATAATTAGCTTATTGAGTGGTGGTGTTAATAAAAAAAATTGATTTATTTTTGTCAATTATGTGATTTGAAAAAAATATTACATCCTTGTCTCTTTAAAAGAATCAGCCTGTGGTAATTTTTTCCCCCTGTGAGAACATACCTTGGAAATAGTAAACTAATTCAATGAAAATAGTCCTTTAATTTCAGACAAAAGGTTTAAACCCAATTTTTCCAGATTATGTACCCCTTGTTTAAGTGGTCTATGTGTTTCTTTTTGCTTTTCACAATTTCATTCAAATATTAAGATTAATATACTTTTAAGACCCTTAAACATTTTCCTGCAACTTTCTCTTAGTGTAGTTCTGAAACTTAATATTTGAAAAATAGGTTAAATTTTCTCTGCACCAAAATTTTCCATTGCTTTAGCGATAAGGTTGGTGGTGCAGATGGGTTGAAAAGGCTTAGAAAGACAGTAAATCAAATTAGAATTATGTTCAATAAATATAATTAAATATGTCAGGTGTGTTTTTCCTCTCTCTGTGTTTCCTTTGGGATATATACCATGCTAACATTCTGCACATTCAAGGAGGGAAATCTATATCTACATTTAAGCCCCATGTTCCAATTCCTGAGAATATAGTCTCAATAGAAGAGATTCAGTTTTATGTTCAGCTGACTTGTTTTGGCTAAGGGATGTCATTTGGATTCCATATTCAACTGACAAATGAATAATGCTAAAACCTTAATATTAATCTAGCTTTTAGGAGTAGTTTTCTCATTTCGAATGACATAAAGGTTCAAAAAGGCATATCTAATGCATCACTCCATGGGGCCCATTTGCTTTAGGCTTACTAAAATAACATCTGGTGGTGTTTGTTATTCCAAGTGAGGCTACGCACCTGGGAGTGGGCATCTCTTCTTAAAAGGAAAAAGAGCCCCTGCTGATGAGAAGTTTTTGTTACCCTTGGAGCCAAATTAACACCTCCTAATACCTCTACCCTCAATAATCTGAGTAAATGTCAACTAATTCTTATTTTGTTTGTATCCTTGACAAATTGGAGAATGAAAATCACCTGCAATTCATAAAACTTCTATTTAATATTTCCACCTTATTTCTAAACTATATGAATGGAAAACACCATCCAATTAGAAGTAACTGATATTTTTGCAGCCTTCCAAAGCAACTATTTGTTATCCCCCTTATTTTATGACTTTGATTTTCCTTGTAATCTAAAGCCTACATGTAATTTTTGTTGCTTAGCAACACAATGCGATGTATAATATAAAAAATACGAAACTATATCTTTAATGCCCACCACTGAAAATCATTTCTGAGGAAAGGAAGTGCCAAACTGCTATGATATACAACATAACACTGTTTTGATGATTATGGTGTTATTGTTACTGCATTAATGATAATGGTACCTTCTGGTTTTTTGGATGGCTTGAAATGGCTTATTGAAGTATTTCTTCCTTTTGACTTTTCTTTTGGTTGTTATAAATTTATATCTCAGTATTACAATGTCTAGAGTGTTGGAATTGGAGCTAATCAGATCTAAGTTCAAGTTCTGCCTCAGACACGTAGTAACTGTGTGACCTTGGCCAAGTCACTTAACCTCTTTCTGTCTCAGTTTATTCATCTGTAAAATGGGGATAATAATAGCACCTAGCTCACAGAGCTATTGTGAGGATCAAATGAAATACTTTATGTTATGTGCTTTTTAAACTTTAAAGTGCTTATAGTCATCGTCATCCAAGTTCTGTAGAGATTTGTGTTTATTAAACTTCTAAAATCTCCCATGGCTCAGTTATTTCTGTTCAGGACTCAGAGGTGTGCTAGATGGGCACCAGGTCATACTGGCTCAAGAAAGTGTTTAGTTTTCTGTGTGAGCATTCTCACCTTGGATATCCAAGAAGGCTACAAAACTTGTCTTGGTTTATTGTTTTATTGTTTGACCAGACATAATAAAGTGATGAAGAAAATATTAATTAGGCAAATTGAACTTAAATGTCTGTCATTTTTTTTTGATAGATTTTTTTCCCCCTCAGAGAGCCAGTTGTAAAACATTTCCCAGTACATCCCTGTGACTGGCAGAAACAAATCCACACATTTCTGGGCCAAATTACTTCTACAATTTGGTACTGGTTGTTACATCATTTGTGTCCTAGCAAATCTGAAGTAAAGTTAGTTTGGCAATACAATCATCACTGCAGCATCATAGCAGAAATACAGCCTTAAATCAAAGAGAGGGGAAATGACACTGTTTGAATCTGTTGAGTGGGTGATGCTGCCAACTCTGGTCCGTTGGGAAATTTATCACATTTGAAATTGTTTACCTTTATTTTTTCCCCTGGTGCCTTCATGATTGCACGTTTATTCTGTTATTTCTGATCAATGGAATGCACATCAGAGATTGGACCCTTAACTTTGGCTTTGTTCTCACTTTGTTTTTAGAGCGTCCACATTTTAGAGAGGAATGCTTCTGCTGGTAATGAGCCATCTGCAAGCAGGCAGTTGCTAGAAACTGAACCTGTCTCACTCTCTAAGGTCAGTGAGGGACTCTGGTCATTTCTGAAGCATGCTTGTTTGGGGGTTGTTCAAAATGTGTGGAATTCTTATACTAGTCACAACTAAGCAAGCTACGAAGTACAAGGCAAGAGCAACCTTCCACCTCCTCCTGTTCTCAGTGTAGGAGGGTTATGATGCCCTGAATAACAGGAGGCAGTAGAAACCTTTTGGGAGGGATTTGCAAAGTTATGGTAAAGGTTCCAGATTTTGTTTTGTCAAAAGAAAAAAGAAAGGCAATGGATACATGCCACTTGGCACTGCAGAGATTAGATGGGCAAGTATCATTGCTACTAAAATGAAAAGAGTCACTTTTCCTTTTGTGGACCTCAGTTTTCTCATCTGTAAAAATAAGGAAATTGAACCAGATGACCTATAAGATCTCTTCCAGCTCTGGCTCTGTGAGATGTCATTTATACCAAGGAGGGTGAAATGGTATAGGTACTATGAAGGGCTGCTTTAATGTCAGGGGAATAAGGGCTCTTCTTGTAGCTTCATTGTTAACACAAGTTTTCATCTTCTCAATCATTATTATTATTATAATTATTAACTCAAGGTGAGCTGCCAAGAGAAATACTGTACATAACTAATAAACTTCTTGGAAGCCAGAACTTCTGTTGGACACCATATCTCTAGGCCAGTAGTTCTCAAACTGTGATCTGAGAAACCTGAGATATCCCTGAGATGATTTCAAAGAGTTCAGGAGATCAAAACTATTTTCATAATAATGCTAAGCCATCATTTGCCTATTAAAATATTCCTCCCTTTTCCAACTACATATGTGTATGAGGCTGGATTTTCTTCATGTTCTTCAACTGAAACAACATTTCGATAGATTGAAGACAGAAGCTGATACAAGAATCCCGCTGTCTTCTATTAAGCAAGACATTAAAAAAACTTGCAAAAATATATAAAATAATGCCATTCTTCTATTTTTTTCTGTTTTGGAAAATATAGTAATTTTTTTCTTTAAAAAGCTTATGTTAACATGTAATAGGTTTATTATTTTTAGATGAATAAATAAATATTCTAAAATTTATCCATTTTAATTTCATTATGGTAAAGATATCACTATAACTCACATAAACAAAAACTTTTTTTGATCTTCAATAATTTTTAGAAGTGTGACAGGGTCCTGAGACCAAAAAGTTTGAGAACTGTAGCTCTAAGTCATTCTCTTCTGCCTAACAACATGGTCTGTGCTTGCTTCTGGGTTAATTTTCCCTCTTTTATTAAACTGTATTTATGACAGTATCAGCCAATTTCAAATTAAGACCAACTTTTCTTGTCCTGTTTTATTCTTTGCTTTTGTCAGGTTGACAACTTGTTTAATTCTTAAGACTATATTTGGATTGTTTGTTATTTCTCTTGCTATTCTTGAGAAATACAGTATTCATTGAGAATAGTATTATGGCTCAAAACTACTTGAGTAAAACAGATTTAATCCTAAAAAAAATGTTACAGCTCTTCCACCTTTTTAGACAAATATTTCTTTTCCCCTGCAGCTAACCTTGTAAAGAAGAGACCAGTGTGATAGAAATCCATAGCTATAGCTCTATAGGGACATACTGATATTATGCTCAGAGTTTAATTAGCTGAAACCTAAAAAGCATTTCTATTTATTATTAACTTTTTCCATTCTGCACAAGTTATAAAAAGCATTCTTCTTCACACAAGGGGCGGACAAAAGGTGACCCACCAGACTTAAAAGATGTTGCCTAAAAGAAAAATTTCTTTTCCCCAAAAGAAATATACTATACATGTCTTTGGAAGTGAAGAGTGTTGGAAGTAAAGAACTCAGAAAATAGAGTCAATGTTTCTTGAGCTAGATTGTCGCTGAAGATGTACACGTGGAGACATAGCCCGTAGAAATGGATTATGGCAGAGTTCAAAAGAAAAGACAATGAATGGCCTCAAAAAGATATCCCAGAATAGAAAGTAGTGGGTGTATTTAGCTAAACAGAAAACAAATCCAAAGACAGAACTGTTCAGAGTTTTTATAAAGAACCTATCTCTTCCCTGTGATCTGTGAGCATTTAAAAATTCCATGTTTTCAAATTTTTTTTCCAGTTTTCTGCTTTCCTTCTGATCTTGACTACATTTATTTTATTTGTACAAAACCTTTTTAATTTAATGTAATCTAAATTATCCTCACTCTTCTCTTTAGCTCTTGTTTATTCATAAATTGTTCACTTATCCATAAGTCTGATACTTATGTTCCATGTTCTTCAGATTTTCTTGTAATATCTCTCTTTATATTGAGATCATATATCCATTTTGACCTTATCTTGGTAAATAGTGTAAAATATTGGTCTATGCCCAATTTCTGCCATACTGTTTTCCAGTTTTCCCAATATATTTTACCAAATAATGAGTTCTTATCCCCAAAACTTGAGTCTTGTCAAAAACAAGTTATTACATTCATTTGCAACTGTGAATTGTATGTCTACTCTGTTCCACTAATCTACCTTTCTATTTCTTAGCCAGTACCAGATAGTTTGGATAATTACTACCTTATAGTTTAAGATCTGATACTGCTAAACCTCCTTCCTTTACATTTTTTTTTTTGTGATTTCTTTTAGACAATTCCTCCATACAAAGAAGTGGCCCGTGTAGTAATGATCATAGCCACTTTCTATCAGTGTGGTAGTTTTTGCTTTTCAAAGCACTTTTGCCAATATATTATTAGTAATTGTTATATGTTGCTACTATGTGTCTAGCATATTATGTTGTTATCATACAGTCTCAATAGAAACTGAAATTTTCTGGTATGTAATTTTGGTCAGGCATATAGCATCCCTGGAAGGCTTAATGCTTTGGTAGAGAAAATATACAGACCCTAAGGTGCTAGATTGAAATATATCTAAGACTGGTCTCCAATAATAGCTTGATTAATAGTAGCTCAGGAGGCAGCATGGCATATTGGATAAAAGACCAGTCTTGGAGACAGGATGTCCTGGTTTCTAATCCCACCTCTGACACTGACTAGTGTCAGACTGACACTAATTAATGACTAATGACTAAATGACTGGGCAAGCCATTTAATTTCTCAATACCCCAGGCAATAACAGTTATAGATAATCTTCTGATCTGCATCCATGAAAGGATTTTCTGTGTTAGCTTTTCCACAACAACAGTGAAATCACAGATCCAGACCCCAACTCTTCTTCTCTTCCTCATTCCCAATAGTTCATATTTCTATAGCAGTTTAAAGTTTACAAAACATTGAAAACAAGCACTATTTACTACAAACAGCAAATGAAAAATCATTGATGTGTTCATGTATTAATCTTCATATGTAGTTATGGACTTAGATTTCATTGGTGTAAGTTAATTGCTCAAGCTCCGGCATCCTTGAACATGTTAAGAATCAGCTTTATGACCAAGGGTGGTGTGTATGTGTGTGATAAGCAGAACATTTGTTGTTCAATCATGTTTGACTTTGTGGTCCCATTTCAGGTTTTCTTGGCAAAGATAGAGTGGTTTGCCATTCCCTTCTCTAGCTCATTTGACAGATGAGGAAATTGAGGCGAACAGAGTTAACTGACTTGCCCAGGGTCCCACAACTAGTAAGTGTCTGGAACCAGATTTGAACTCAGGAAGAGGAATCTTCCTGACTCCAAGCCTGGCTCTCTATCCATTACACCACCTAGCTGCCTATATTCATAGGCACATGACCACCCTAATAATGAGATACCCTTTTATTCTACAAAGAGGTGCATCACAAACACTTCAAATATGTTGTATTCATATCTTTACTCCGTTCCTAGACCAAAACCCAAATTCTGGAGACAAAATGAACATTTTTCTTCTAGGAAAGAGTCCCAGATCAAAACCTTAAGGCATAGCTCTACACAGTGATTAGAAGCCTAGAGAATATATTTCTAATACTGTCTCAATCCCATTCCACAGGGTGTCCTAAAAGTCTTGCTGTCCAAAGACTTTTGAGACACCCTGAACTTTGATAGAAATGGCCTGGTTCTAATGAAATTCTGGTGGGTCATGGTTGATTTTTCTATTTTTTTTTAAACTTATATGTTTCATTTTAGCTTCTGTGAGTCTCATGGATCCCCCTGCTCCCTAAAAAAAAGCCCTTCACTGTTACTTTTGATAAAACCATCTTCCATATCACCCAGGCACAACGTGAGATATTGTCTTTGACTCCTCACTCTCTTTACCTCCTCACTCTCTTCACCTCTTCTCATCCCCCAGCATCTGCATTCAATCTATTGTCAGTTCTACCTTCACAACATCTCTCCTTTAGGAGCCCTTCTCTCCTCTGACCCTGCTAATGATTGAGTGCTCAGTCCCCAGCCCTAAGATCGTGTCTCTGGAAACTTCCCAATCTCTCAGTACACCCCCTGTCTTTGAGAAAGTTTTCTCATATTGCAGAACACATTCTCTTATCAGAACAGACACAGGGGTGCCTGGCCTAAGCATTTTCATCCTTGACTGGCCCAAGGACTCTCCCTCACACCAGATCCCCAAGATCCATGCCTCTGACAAATCCCTCAATGTCTGGAATCAACAAAATTATTTCTGCAGACTCCCTGCATTTTCCCATCCGTAGATCATAGTTCCTGCTCCCAAAGGACACCTGGACCCCTAGATTACCCAATTAGAATCCTTGGCATCCTTTCCCTTGACACTTTTCCATGTAAGACCCAGCTCCATCCTCACTATCTTGCAGGTTTCCTAAGGACCCTCACCCACTTTTGCTAAAGCATTACAATAAACTTTTTCCTACTTGACTAAGAGAAAGTTTGAGTGTGTGAATTCATTCCAGGCAACTCTGCCTTAGCATTCTCATCCTTAAACCATGTCAGCACCCCTAATCTATTCACTACTACCATGGTACAGGCCCTTATCACTTCATGCCTGAAGTACTATAGCAGCTTTATGGTTGGTCTCCCTTCTTTAAATCTCTCCCCACTTACTCTATTCTTCTCTCAACCATCAAAATGATCTTCCCAAGCATAGGTCTGAACAGGTCACACACCATCTCCAATAGACTCCTTAATGCCTCCACGATCAGATATAGAATCCTCTATTTGACTTTAACAATCCTCATAACCTGGCCTGTTCCCACCAGTCTCATTATAACATTCATCTCCTGACCACGTGGCCTCCTTACCTGCAAAAGACCTTTCCAGTCTGCAGGAAATTAGAAACAACACCATTCCTTCCTGCTCTTTCTACCTATAACTATCCCATCAGCTCCCCACACTAACGCCTGCCTAACACTGAGCAGACTTACCCTAAAACCAACCATCCTGCACTCATTTAGCAGTGATTAACAAACTCCCACTCAATTATTATACATTTCTCATCACAGTGATCCTGGTTTCTTGGCTATTACTGTACAAACCTGTTCTCCAACCCCCCGTGTTCTCTACCTCATCCCTTCAACCTAAATCTCTGATTCCCTAGAGCTACCCACTCCTTCCATTGTGTTCTCTGGAAAATGTGCTTCATGGTTAACAAACTTGCTTTCATCATAAATCTTTTTCTTTCCCACTCCTTTCATATTTTGACTCTTACTGAGACCTATCTCGTTTCTGATGATGAAACCTGCATGGTCATCTTTTCCATTACTGGTTGCATATGCAGTCATCCTTTCTGACTCATTGGTTGATGTGGTTGAATTGAAATACTCTTCATTCTCCCATTGTCACTTCCAGGGTCTCCCTCTACCTCTATCACTTAGTAACCTTTCCTCCTTTGAGGTTCACTCAGTACATTTCTACACCCCAATCAAAATTCTGGTAGCTGTTGTCTACTGGTCTCCAGGACACTGCTCTTCTTTCCTCAATGAGTTCAGTGCCTGGCTCCCCATACCTGCCCACTTAGTAGGGTACTTCAGCACACATTGATACCCCCTCAAACAATTTTATCCCCAGTTCTATAACTTACTTATTTCCCATGACCTACTCCTCCACCCCGCCTCAGCCACACACAAAAATGGTCATATCCTTATCTTTCTGTCACATACAAATCTCCATTTCCATGTTTATGGACTCTGAAATTCCCTTATCTGATCACAATCTCTTGTAATTCTACTTCTCTCTCTGCCTTGCAGTTCCAAATCCCAAATCCTGTTCCTTTATCCTCACTGTAACTCTCAATCGCTTGACCCTTTAGTTTTTTCCCAGGCTATTACCCCTGCACTGCTTTCCTCATCATGAACCTATAGTGAACCAGTTCAACTCTACACTGTCTTCTTCTCTCGAATGCCTTACCTTATATCCTATCACCAGACTTTCCAGTCTTGGATTACTCCCTCCATGTACTGCCTTTATATCTTCACACATGCTGCATAATGATGCTGGAGAAAATCATGAAACCATGCCAACTGTATCTGCCACAAATTTATGTTATGTTGTCTCGATGGGGCCTTCGTGGAGCAAGGCAATCCTTTTACACCTCCTCAATCAATTTACTGTCTAGTCATCACAGTAGATTTTCCAAACCTTTTCATCCCTTCTCTTATAATTTCCCCTCCTCCACCTTCTCAGCTGAGAACCTTACGTCATATTTTGCTGAAAAAATTGAGGTTCTCTTCCTACTTCTTTGACTGAGTCTTCTAAGTCTCCTTTAATGGATCTTCATGAAGGTCATGCCGTCTAACCACGGGCCATCTTCTCTTCTTCTGTACTGCTTTACTTGGCGATCTCATCAACTACCATGAATTCAATCTTTATGTTGATGATTCTCAAATTTATTTACGCAGCCCTAACCTCTCTCTTGCTCTCCAGTCTTTGCCTATTGGCCATCTTGAATTAGATGTCCTATAGATGCCTTAAATGCGATATGTCATTATCTTTCCTTCTAAACCCTTCTTTCTTCCCAGCTTCCCTTGAAAGGACCACCATCCCCCCAGTTACCCAGGCTTGCCTTTGCCTTTTTCATCCTTTACTTCTCTCTCTTTCCCACCCCATCGCCCCTCCTATAAGCTGCTTCTAAGTCTCTTCACTTCTCCCACATGTCCTTTTCTATTCACACAACTACCTCCCCTGTGCAGGCCCTTATCGCCTCATGCCTAGACTATTGCCTCAAATCACTGCAGTCCATCCTTCACTCAGCTGCCAAAAATGATCTTCCTACAATGCAGGTCTAACCATGTCAACCACTCCCCTTACTTAATAAAGTCCACTGGCTCCCTATTACCTCCAGAATTAAATGTAAAATACTCCCTTTGATAAACCCCAATGTTGACCCCAATATTCTAGTCTTCTTATACCTTATACCACCCTCTCTCCACTGCACATCCAACTTACTCTATAGTCCAGTGACTCTTGCCCCATTGATATTGCTTGGACAAGAAACTTCATCTCCCAAATCCAGGCTCATTCACTAGCTCTTTCCCATGCCTGGAATTTTCTCCATTCTCATCTTTACCTACTGGCTTCCATAGCCTCCTGGGCTAAAATCCTGCCTTCTGCAGCAAACCCTTCCTGATCCTCCTCTCTGTTGATTATCTTCCATTTATCCTCTCGATTTCTTGTTTGTACAAGCTGGCTATTTGCATGCTGTCTCCCCCTTTAGAATGTGAACTCTTTAAGATCAAGGATTGTCTTTTTGCCTTTCTTTGTATCCCCAGGGCTTAGTCCACAGTAGTAAGTGTTTAATGAAGACCTGAGAATCCAGATGTCTTCTATCAAGTCAGAGATTTGCAAAAATATGTAAAACAATATCACTCTTATTGCTGGTTTCTTTGTTTTAGAAAATATTTTCATAAAAATGTATTTTTTTCATAAAATTATAAAATATGTTTCATGAAAATATGTTAATACATTCTTATTTACTTGACTCACCTAGCTGCATGTATCAGTTGGCTTACAGCCTTGCTGCAGGGTATACACGCTTCTGATATACATAAGCAGCATCCATCTCAGCAGTTTGTGCTAAGGAACTTTACTCCTCAAATTGTGTCATAAAGTGATTATGTCCTATTAGGTGTAGTTTCGTTGTAAACACTGACCATAATCTAATTGTTTTTTTCTTGTTTTTCTATCAGGAGGCCGACAGCTGGGAAATCATAGAGGGCCTGAAAATAGGCCAGACTAATGTCCAGAAGCCAGACAAACATGAAGGATTTATGTTGAAGAAAAGAAAATGGCCTTTAAAAGGCTGGCACAAGGTGAAACCCGCGGTCTGTGTATAGAACATCATTAATATCACTGCTAATAGGAGAGTTATTTATTCACTATGATATCTCCAATGCTCACGTAATAGTGAGTGTCATTTGTGTGAAGACACATAATTTTCAAGGCCTGTTCTTAATCACTGGGGCTGTCATAATCACTGTGCATATTTAATTCTGAGAACTTTGGTGAATGACCTTATATTTGGATGCCATCATAGAGAACACCATTGATCAATAACGACTTCCCTCTCTTTCCCAATGTCTGTAGTTAGTGAAAATGAAAAGCTCTTGTCCTAGGGGTTTTGACCATTTTTTTTTTTTGTACGTGGATCCCTTTCATAGGCAAATGAAGCCAGTAGACTTCTCCTAATAATGTTTTTAAATGCATAAGGTAAAATGCATAAGATTATAAGGGAAGCCAATTATATTGAAATAAAAGTGTTTTTCCCTTCTAAATTCACAGAACCTTTCAGATTTCAAACAAATGCTTTGGTTGTGTATATACCAGCACTCCCTTTATCCTAATTCAATCCAAATCTTTATTAGGTGATTTATTGGACAGGGTTTCTTTTGTTCATCTTCTCTTTACTAATATATACAGTCTAAAACCACAGAGTAAGGTAAAGAGATATTCATGAAATGTATTGTTTAGGATCCTTTAAACCAGCCATTCTCAACATGGAGTCTGTAGGCCCCTGGGGATCCCTGAGATACTTTCAGGGAATTGGCAAGATCAAAACTATTTTCATAATAATACTTAGGTATTATTTGCCTATCAAAATGTTCCTTCCTTTTTAAATGAACATCTGTGTGAGGCCAGATTTTCTTCATGTATTGAAACAACATATCCCAACAGATTAAATGCAGAAGCATATCTGAGAATCCAGCTTTCTTTCTGTTAAGCCAGACATGGAAGAGATTTGTGAAAATATGTAAAACAATGCTATTTTTGCTTTTTTTTTTTTTGCAAAAAGATAGGTTTGTTTGTTCTTTACAAAAATATGCTGTGTCTACAAACATTTTAAATGATCAATTTTAATCTCTAATGTGGTGAGTATTGATGAATATAATTCACATAAACAAAAGCCCTTTGTTTACAATAACTTTTAAGGATGTAAAGGGGTCCTGAGACCAAAAAGTTTGAGAGCCACTGCTTTATATAATAACTAGCTAACTGAGGTATAGAAGAGAACTTTCCAGTGCTTATTATGGAAAAAAAATTTTCTAATTTTTGTGTGATAACCTTAAGCATTCCTGCCATTGCTCAAGCTCTGTGATTCATGGTACAGGGGGAAAGGAAAAATAATTTTCTTTTGAACATCCTTAGTGTAATTCCTGTAATGGACCCCAGCTAGCTTTGTAGAATGGGCTTTTAAGGAATTCCTAATGTATTTTTTTTTTACCCATGTCTGTCACTTTTACAGTCAGAGTATTTATTGTGTTATTCTGAATTGAAAGGCTTGCAGATAACATCTGTCACTCCTTGGAGTTCACAGGCTCACAGGAAAAAACGTTTTAGAACTGGAAGGAAACTTAGAGGTCATTAAGTCCAACCCCTAATTTGACAGATTAACTGGAGCTCAGACAGATGAAGTGACTTGTCCAAATTCATACAAATGATGAATAATTGTCATAATTGGGACTTGAACCCAGGTCCTCTGGTGCCAAATTAAACTGCAAATCAAGGAGGCTTTGATCGATGTGTTCTTTCCCCACTCCACATGCAACTTTCCCTGGATTCTCATTGCTACCTAAGGCCCAATAGTATCTTCTCCTTCCCTCTCTCTACAGGGCTATAGTGCCATTGGCCATACTCTGTTAGGAGCTTGTTTTTCTCTCAGTCCACCTCAATCATGCCATAATTCTTCCAGTATACGGCTTTATGTCCTTTTCTGTGACCTTGCCACCCTCTTCTGTTCCCCAGATGGAAAAGTATGAGAGAACAGGGGGCACAGAAACCAAGTTACATATGAGTCACTAAATTTAATTTTTCTTACCAAGTCTATGATTTCATCCAACTGGCTCTGAGTCAACTGTGACTCCAGAATATGCTGTGGAAAATTTCTCCACATAAATAGTAGAGGTCCAGAATCAATTTTATTATTTCTTTCTCTAATGTGCTCTAAATAAATCATATTTTTATTCTGACCTAAGCCAAAACCATGTTGCATATTAACTGTGAGCTACTCACTTAAATATATTTTAAGCTTAATTTGGAATAGTTTTTTTTTTCCCTCAGCATGAATCTTTTCTCAGACTTGGCCTCACAGGTCCACATTTTCCATATTTTGTAACAAAGGGATTACATTAGCCTTTTTTGAGTTGTATGTTGAGGACCATTAGAATCAACCTGCCTTTTCTATTGTTAAATCAGATAGTAATTTTCCATGGGAGAGAACTTCTTGCTACAAACAGAAAGACTCCTGGCATCGATAGCTTACAAGAGAAAGGCACTGGATCCATTGTTTTGCTGCATACCATGAGATATTTGTTTGACTTGGAATTGTACAGGGATGGAAATAAACAGTGATTCCCTGTTTTTGTGAAGCTGTAATTGACAGGACCACTGAGAATCAAGGGCCACTGAGCAGCAAAGATATGATTGGGATGAATCCCCAAGAGTCCATTTTTATGTCTTTGCCAAACTATGTAAATTTTTATTCTTAATATTAGCTGGAAGTAGTAACCCTATTTAACTGGAAAAAAGAAACTAAGCTATGGAAAGGTGAAGTATTTTCTTCCAGGTCACTATGTTTTACTTTTTAATGGCGCATCAGTCCATTGACAAATCCATCAGTTTCAGTTTGTCCACATCAATACTTTCTCTAGTTCCCTGTGGAATTCAGTTAAATCTGCCAGAGTAAGAAAAAATTCAAATGTAGTAAGACAGCCCTTTGCAGAATTTTCCTGGCACTTAACCTTGAATATCCCTCATACCTGATAGTGGTTGTGACTAAACAAGAAATGTCATGAAATTTTCTGTTCTGTCATTTCTCACCATCCAAAGGAAAAAAAAATCCCAACCCTGTTAATGAGGAAAGTCTTAAATTCAAGACAGGCACTGAGATGCCCTCAACTGGTGTGGGAAACCATGTTAAGTGGCCTCCATTGTCAGATTATGAACCTAGTAGGCAAATGTACAAAGATAGAATAAAACAGAAACTTCCTAATTTTTGAGTATGATAAACACATCCATAGTACATTGAGGGAATGTGTTTTATTTTGATTAAATTTACTGACTATGAAAATGCTAAATGTTAAGAAAGACTAAATTCACATTTGTAAATACTTATTATTATTCAGGTTCTTCCCACATACTAATAGTGAATTATTTGGTTCTTGCAGCGATTTTTTGTCCTGGATAATGGAATGTTGAAATATTCAAAAGCACCACTTGATGTAAGTAAATCATAGGACATTTTTCAAAGGTTGGTTTAGAGTTCTTTTTGATGTGACAATACCATTGCATTACAATTCTCAGCCTATAGTTACCAGCTTTATCCATTTGTTCCCCTGTGTTGTAATTTTAGATTTGAAAAAGTGTACCCAGGTGCGATAGGAAGTATGTTTTCTGTTTATGGAAAAGCTAGTGCAAAATTTCAGACTTACGAATGAAAAAATCAGAATTCAGTTTTGCAATATGCCATTGAAAACTGCAATTTGACCTTTAGTGTAATATGCTAAAAATGCAATCTTCCTAATGTTATAGTGGGTGAGATTAAATTGTCATATTTACTTTATAATAATTTCATATCTGTTTTAGAGTTTTCATATCACTTCTATACATTTGCTATCTAATTTTGGTGTCTCAATAACCCTATGGAGCTAGGTAGGGCAGATAGTGTCCCTATTTTAAATATTGAAAACTGATCCCTGTAGAGGTTAAGTGACCTCTTCAAGGTCACCAGGCCTACCACATGACTGAGCAAAGTCATTTGAACCAGAGTCTATGATGCTCTGTGTAGTTTTTATTGTTTTAAGTAATCCCCGTTCTCAAGGCCTTCTGATCAAATAGGCAACAGATTAAAAGTTATGAAAGATTTCCTCAAAATATAAAAGGGCAAAAGCCAGGTTTATACTGAAAAGAAATGGCCCTTTGTGGCATTTTCTTTTGGGGGAGGGGGGACAATTTTATTTTTATCCTCAGAGCCAGAGTCGTTAATTATTAAAGAGGCAGATTCCAGAGAGGAAGAGGAGGTTGGAGGCAGGACTAGGATATGGGGGAAAAGATTTGGATATTATCATTTTCATCACTTTGTATCTTATTCCCCAACATCCCCATCTAAACTTTGCATCTTGCTTAGCTAAGGAGTCTGGATGCAGTAGTTGCTTAATGATTTTAAATAAATGAAGTAACAAAATAGGAAGAATAAGCAAAAAGCATCACGAAGATGCTAACCAAAAGGCAAGGCTGTTTGTATTTCTTAGTTCCACCTATCAGAGCTTGCTCTTGACTCCCCATTTCACTAGCAGGAGATTAATGGAGATTACTAGAGGCTAAAGAACACACAAAGACCTTATCTCTTTGATGGCCCTGTCTTGAAGCCAGTCTGCTAAATTAATTTGTTTCTTATATGAAAAGAAAAAATGAGAGCTCTCAACTTCAGATCTGTAATTATGAAGAATTTACCTTATAAGTTATATTACATAAACTAATAGCAGATAGATTGGTTTGCTTATTAAAAGGGGGATGGGGAAACCGTCTTGGATTTCCTCAGATTGAAAGAGATTTCGATTTTCTTTCCCTCGAGCAGAAATAGTGTTCTCATTTTCTTTAAAAGTGTGAAAGGCTGCCAAATTCCTTTTTTTAATTAGATATAGAAATATATCTAATTAGATTATTTTTCCAATCTGTTTACATGGTTTTTTTTTTTTAATTTTAGATTCAAAAAGGCAAGGTCCATGGGAGCATTGATGTTGGGTTATCAGTTATGTCAATTAAAAAGAAAGCTCGGAGGATAGACCTCGACACTGAAGAACACATCTATCATCTAAAGGTAACCAGTCTTTAAACAGAGTTTTCTTCTACTTCTTCTGGGAAATTCTTCCTCAGGTTAAACTGGAGTAATGAATGAATGAATGAACTCCTTCTTTTCTCACCTTTGTTTTAGGTGAAATCCCAGGATTGGTTTGATGGTTGGGTCTCCAAACTCCGCCACCACCGATTATACCGTCAGAATGAAATTGTAAGGTCACCGAGGGATGCAAGCTTTCACATATTTCCTTCCACCTCCACAACAGAATCTTCACCAGCTGCTAATGTTGCAGTTACGGATGGAAAGGTAAGCCTTAATCTTGTGGAAACCAGCCCTGAATTTGATTAGGAAATGACACAAGGTATAATAATTGTCTCCTTTTTTTTTTCTTTTTAAATGAATGGGGTAGCTATTAACTTTGAGTGGTTTTACCAAAATTCTAAGAAATCCAGCAAAAACTTTGAATATTTGACCCAAAGACCCTCATTTATGGGTGTAATTTCCAAAACATGACCTATCTTTATTAGGCTTCAGCTCTAATATCTAAATAGTCCACCATCAGCAACATTTTCTCCCACTGTAGTGCCTACTCAGCTCCCAGCACGTAATAGGTGCTTAATAAATGTTTATTGTCTGATTGAAAACTGAAATGCATATTTCTGCAGACAACTTAAGAAAGCTGTGCAATCACGCCAACTAGTTCTAAATGTGATGCAATCTCAACTCAACCCTCAAGGCAGCTAGCTGTGTCTTATTTTTCACTGATTAACTGTGTATTCTGTTCCCTGTACCAGCTGTTCAGATTTGTTTCTTCAAATCTTTACCAACACTTCCTCCTCCCTCTCTCACAGGGGAGGACCTGGCATCCTACATCTCTCATGAGCTCCATTTTCTTCTTACTCTACACTTCAAACTTCAAAATCATGTGTTCACCTGTTCTCTCCTCTCTTGAAGAGTGGTAGCCCTGGTTCTTGCCAAGGCCTATACTTTCTTGTACCTATCCCTTTCTGTCTCCTGGAAACATGCCCCTTTGACCATTATCCCTCTCTCTGTCCCTTTTTCTCTATCTTCCTCTCTGTCCCCCTCTTTTTCTTACCTTCCATCTATATCTGTATCACTTTCCCTCTGCTTCTTTCCTTTTCCTTTTTCCACTTTCTCCTCTCCTTTTAACTTTTCCCTTCTCTTCCTTTCTTTCCTCTCCACCTTCTCTCCATCTCCTATCTCTATCTTACTCTCTTCTTCTCCTTTCCTTTTTTGTTTCCTCTCTTTGTTCTTTCTAAATCTAATAAATTATTCCTCATTCAGGGATGTACTGGAGACAGTTAAAATTGCCTCTTGAGAACAAATTGTTAATTTTCAGTGTGAGCATTTAAACCTCAGAAATCGGCAAATGCCACAAATCCAGGGCTTGAGTTATTGTTTTGTTAATTGTCTGTTCTTAAGAAAGTGATGGAGAAATTATTAATAATTCATTAAAATTTTAAATTTAAAAGTGTATCATAGATACATTTTTTTTTCAGAGAGCTGATTGTTAAACATTACTAACACACTCTTGCATTCCCTGCATAGCATGTCCAGGCCTCTTCTGTCCTTAAAAACCCTTCACTCTTTTTCCCAGTCAAAGGTGGAGTCATTCACATTCGTTCCCTCAAATTCCCCACCTTTAACTCATTGCTTTTTTAAAATATATTTTTTTATTTTAAATATATTTTTATTTTATTAAGTATTTCCTAATTACATTTTAAAATGTACATTTTACATTAAGATTTTTTTAACATTCTTTCTTTTTTTATTTTGACTTCCAAATTCTCTCTCCCTTCCCTTACCCACCCATTGAGAAGACAAGCACTATGATATTGATTATCTGACTCATTTCTTGACATTTTCTATTTTCATTTCTAACCTCACTGCCTTCCTGAAGCAGCATTCTCCAAGGTTACCAATGATCTTTTAATAGCTAATTCCCATTAATTAGCTGTGTGACTCTGGGCAAGTAGTTTACCTCCTCTCAGCCCCTTTCCATGATCATTGAGAGTTTTGATTAGATAACATGTAAATCCTAAAGCATTATATCAATACTAGCTATCATCATCATCATTATTATTAGAAAAATCACAGGCCCATCCATGCCACAGGACAGATGTATTGCCATATTACATTTGTGGCTTGAATAGATTTTGCTTAATTTACATCTCAGATTCCCCAAAGTGTCTCAAACCTTATATAACTTCATTGTCACTATCAGCTAGGACCTGGGCTTCTTTTGTTAATTCCCTTTTAAAGCATGTGGGTATTGGGTCAACCTTAATATGAACTGTTGCTATGATGAAAAATATCCTATGAGAGGGATGTTGGGAAGGCAGGGCAGTAGACTTAGTAGAATGATATTCATCACAAGAAGCATTAGTTGGACCCCTAAACCTTTATGTTCCTCTTTCTTTTTTCTAGACCAAGGTTTGGAATAAACCTCCTGATTTAACCCAAATTCCTGAAAGATAAATCAACCACAGATGGATTTTTCTAAATATAAAAGCTTAATACTTGTGTCATCAGTGATTTTTTTTTTCACTTCTGCCTCTATCTTTGGTATGGGATGACACCAAGAGCAGGGTGCCTTCATTACTACTGCTGATGCTGCCCTGGTGATTCAAGAGAAAAATGATTCTACTTTTTTGGCTTAGAATAGGAAAACTGTATGACTTCTATAGGAGACTTATTATTCTACCTTTCCAATGAAATACCTCTATGCTTTAGCTTAGCGAAATATTTCCATTACATTTATCAGAATGTAAAAAAAAAAAAAAAAGGAAAAGAGCTATTTATCACTCTGCTTGCATCCTAAGTATCGAATTATGAGTCCCAGAAATGATAATTGGTTTGTGGCCCTCTGTGGATAATAAATAAGCCAGAGCTTGCTAAGTGTGCACTTCATTGAGTTCATGATGATTTAGAAGAGGAGTGATCTGTTGTAATTGAATATTAGAGTCAAAGATGGATTTTAAATGGCTACAACTTTTTTGAAAACATGGTTGAGTCCTTTTCACAGGGTGCCTTAGCACTTATTTTAGAAAAGCTATTTCATGTAGATTATTTATTCCATGCAATATCCTGATAATGGAAGACATATTGGATGTACCTTGAAGTGGTATAGTCTCCTAAAACTGCCCCTTAAAATATTTTTTCTAGTGTGCATAAATCACAAGCCATGCAGAAATTGCCTGTAGATAAAATACTTTGCGAATTCTCTCTGTCTCTGTCTTTGTCTCTGTCACACACACACACACACACACACACACACACACACACACACACACACACACACACACCTCCTTCTTCCTCTCAGTCTTTTTCTGTCTTAGCCTTTCCTCTCTTTCTCTGTGTCTCTTCCTCTGTTTCTGTTCTGTTTCTTTCTTTCCACCTCTATCTCTCTGCCTCTTATTTTCCATTTCTGTTTTTCTCTTTCCTTCTGTCCCTGTATATAACTGTCTCTCTCTCCTTTTCTTTCCCCTCTCTCTTGTTCTCTCTGTCTCTGTAACTCTGTATCTCTCTCTCTCCTCCCCCTTTCTTTCTCTCTCTGGCTTCCCTCTCCCTTCCTTTCTCTCTCTCTCTGTCTCTTCTCCCAAGTCTCCTGTCATCTCCAGATGATTTCCCAGTTGTGACTAGAAACCTAGCAAATTTCAGTGGTCACTAAGTTAGGTCAAAGTTTTGGAGACCACAGGTCTGAAGGGAATATTAGAAACCACCTAGTCTGTTTTCCAGAGGAACTCTACAATTCCAAGTCACACGAAGTATTCAATGGGAGATCTGGAATTTGAACAGAGGACCCTTGGCCTCTAGTTTTCTTGTCACTGTGCCATGCAGTTTCTAAGATTTGGGCAGCCAGTTCATAGAAATTGGGGGGGACACCCACCTGCTGCTGCTCCCTTAAGGGCCTTGCAGTTTAGTTGGGTTCTGAATTCTTTTACCTTCATTGTCATTTTGCGTGTAACCTCATAGGACAATGTTTTGTATTTTGATGACATTATACTGTTACTTGTGGATTTCATCACATATGCTCAACACATTGCAGGATCTCTGTGAAAGTGGGTTCTGTCTTATTTTGCAAATGTAAAAGAAAGATAGAAGATACCATTATATGTCATATCACTTTAACTCTCTCAGCAGTAATCTCTCTCATTTATTTATCAGTACTACTGCTCATACATGTTGTCTGTTTTGTGAACATCAGGTACCACAGAACAGTTTCCCATGGCAGGCACCTATACCATGCAGTAATAGCCTACCTGCAACTTGCACCACTGGCCAGAGTAAAGTGGCAGCTTGGTTACAGGACTCTGAAGAAATGGACAGATGTGCAGAAGGTCAGTGGTCTCCGATAATAAGCCACAGAAAATCAATGAACTTTGGGGAATAGTGATTTTTTTTTTTGTTTACTTACTTTATAGATGAGGAAACTGAGACCCAGACAGGTCAAGTGACCTGCCCAAGGTCATATGGGCAATAAATGACAAAAGTCAGGATCTGAAGCCAGGCCTTCTCTTTGACTCCAAATCCAGTGCTGTTTCCACTACATAATTCCTCTCTTGTTTCAACTGACATTCATTGTTGATAAGCCACTGAAGGGGTTGGGGAAAACAATCCTTGCTCCCTGGGTACTTACAAGTTCTTTCTCTTTACTTAATAGATCTAATCTCCAAGTTGGCCACTCCTCCTTTCTGAGCATAATCCCCTTGTTAACTCTTTCACTCCCTCACACCTTCTCAACCTTTGCCCTGTGACCTCCATTCTCAAGCCCTTCCATTTTGCCCAGTCTATCTACTCCCTTCTGGATGAACTTGAACCCAAAGGTAGGCTGAACTCCATGATTAGCCTCATCAAATTTTTACTCACTGACACGCTTGACTTTCTCATGTCATCAAGTTTTCCCCCCTACCATTATGCCCAAGCCAGGATGCCAAATGACTCTCACTATGTGCTTTCCCTGTTTTGTACCTGGCATATAGGGTATTGCTGGAGAAAGTGGCAGAACTAATGCTATTTTACATATTATAAATCCGTACTTTAATTTTAACCAGGCCCTCAATGTACATCAGCAATCCTTTTATTCATCTGTTGTTTATTCTCTGGCATATCCAAACATCTGTTTCAAACTTTCACCACTCCAATGATCTCAAGCAGCCCCTAATCCTACCTGCTCCACACAGAGCAGATAATTTCACCTCTTCTTTTCCTGAGAAGACTGAGGTGATTGAATGTGAACTCCCTCACCTCTGTTTTTGATGTTAAAATAGCTGTTTCTTTATTCATTCTCTCAGGGAAGAGCTTTATTCCCAAGTTGGCCTTTGTACTTTTTCAAGTCATGCCCTAAAGTTCAGTATCATATCACGCCCTTTATCTCTAGGAGAATAACTTAAAACTAGAGACTGTTGATTAATGAATTGAGATCAACTTGGAGGGAAGTTCTCTTGTGTCATTGTAGGGTTCTTACCTATGCCCCTGAAAACATACATATCAAAGGGGGAAAAAAGGTAGATTTATCAGATTTGTGGCTGGCATGAAACTGAGAGAAATGACATGACATGATGAGTTGAAAGATCTGAAGATTGTTCTAACTATAGTGATCACATCCCACCTAACATTTGAAAAGCAGTTATGTCCAAGAAAGATAAAGTGAGTTTCTGGTCACTGAAGTTGTTCAAGCAGAGCTTAAAAGATATAAAAGAGGGGCAGCTAGGTGGCGCAGTAGATAGAGCACCAGCCCTGGAGTCAGGAGGACCTGAGTTCAAATGCGGTTTCAGACACTTGACACTTGCTAGCTGTGTGACCTTGGGCAAGTCACTTAACCCCATTGCCTAGGCAAAAGAAAAAAGATATTAGAAGAGAAATTGATCCATTGGGCATGGAGTTACAGTTCTTTCTAACTCCAAAAGTCTATCCACTTTGCAGGGTCTTCAATCTTTTACTTTCATTGGCTCCTTCGGCATGACATTTCTTATTCTCCATAATTTATTTGGTAAAAGTGAAGAGCAGTGTGAATGTTTGTCAAAATAACTAAATTTGGAGCCTCTCTGAATCAATTTTGAATACGTCTGCATTTTGTGGGTCAATAACACTATGCATTTGAATAATGCTTTATGCTTTTCAGACTGTTTTCACGTTTCTTATTTAATTTCCTGTCCCAACAACACTATGACTTGATTGGGCCAAGTGTCATCCCCTTTTTACTGATGAGGAATTGCAGTGCAGAGAAGTTACTTGCCCCAATAATTTATGGCAGAACAAGGACTGGAACCTTTGTTTCTTTTGTGCTGAATTCTGTGTACTTTTCTCTAGAACAGAAGTTCTAATATGAATCTCTCACCCTTTACCCTCTGGAAGAACCTGGCTATTGTTTTGGCAATTATAAGCCACAGCCTGCATTTCTGTACTATCATGATGGCACCACTTTGTGTCTAAAGAATAATCTCAAAATTAAGTACCAAGTGTTTATGGCATAGCTCCCATGCACCTAGCATTGTGCTGGACATTTCGGGTATCAAACAATAAGTAGCCATCTGATGAACTAGATATGAAAAGTTGTAGTATCCACATCTTACAGATGGGGAAACTGAGGCTCAGAAGTGAAGTGATCATGGTCACACAGCTAGTAAATTTTAAAGCCTAGTCTCAAACCCTGGCCTTTCAGCTCCATTAAATAGGATCTCAGTCTACAGGGACTTCATGGTCTTGTTATGTTTCTTTAAAAGATAAGATAGGGGCAGCTAGGTGGCACAGTGGATAGAGCTCTGGCCTTGAAGTCAGGAGGACCTGAGTTCAAATCCAGTCTCAGACACACAACACACAGCACTTACTAGCTGTGTAACCCTGGGCAAATCACTTAACCTAGCCTAGCTAGACAAATAAATAAATAAAAGATAGAATTCAGAGTAGAATGATAGCACTTTAGTTTGGTCTGTAGAGATTCAGATTTAACCTTTCATTTAACCAGTGAGGAGACTGAAGCCCAGAGAGGTTAGAAGACTCACCTAATATCATCACTCAAACAGGATTTCTGATAACAAAATTTCTTACAAGTGGAATGCATCTTCTACATCAAGAGATCCTAATGCAAATAGCATGTAAAACCCTTGTCTGCTTTTGAATTCTCTCTCATTAAATATCTAGGGCTTTCCCGCAGATGCTGCAAGCTAAACCAGACCCAATTTAGAAATCTAGATATAGATTTTTAAAAATTAGGCATTGCTATAAAAAATTTTTTTTGCTTTCTAGATTAGTGTGAAAACGGGTGCCTTTGACATTCAGTAGATAATTGAAATTAGTTAGTTTTTAAATAGTCTATGTGTATATAATTTAGGCAAACAAGCCAGGAAAAGACAAAACAGTTCTGCATGTTAACAGGGCTTTCCACAGACATGTTCTATGGTTGGTTGTTAATAATTTGCATGCAGAAAAGTAATTGCTTTTAAACTTTAGGGCCTGAAGGCGTGTTCTAAATGTGTAATAATAGAGTAAGTCAGTGCTGATTTCTCTGTATGCTAGACTGTATTTAATTGTGTGAACACATTTTATAAGAGATTCTTTATATTCTATTTTCATATGCTTATCAATGTTCAAAGAGACACTTTTTCCCCTTACCCATTGTAATTTGATTTTTTTTTTTGTTCCTGATACACCTATACCTGGAAGTCACCTTCGTGTCTTAAATGTTAATTTCAATAATGGGATTCCCAACGCTTTGTCATTCTCTTTATCCCGTGCCTTCATTCTTATAGTTACATTAGTGAGAAGATACTGTAAATTAAAGAAAATAAGCAGTTTATTTGAGGACAGATTTCAGCTTTGCTAGGCATTTACTATTTTCTTCCTATCAGAGGAAAAGCCTTAAAGGCAGACCTCATAAATAGTCCAGTAAAATCTTAGGAAATTTTTATCTTAGTTTTGCATACTTAGCACAGTTCTGAACACAAATGACCTCTTGATCAGAGAAGAGCTTGACTTGTCATGGCTTTGAGATGTTATAAAATTAATGTTTAAAAGACTCTTCTTGAAATGAAAAAAATACAATGACTACAAGCCTAATTAAGTTAATTGTTAAGCTACCTGTTTAAAAATGAGATTTAAAAAATCTTATCACTGAGTTAAAAAGTCAGTAAGGTTGATATTAGTTTGTTTTTGAATGCACTGTTTTTTAAATCGTAGGCTCATAGATACAAAGCTGAAGCTTAGAAGCCATCGAGTGCAATCCCCTCATTTTACCAGCTGAATAAAATAAATAAACTTGTAGGGTTTGAGTAAACTGCTCAAGCTCATACAAGTGATGAGTTACAGAGCTGAAGTGTGAACATAAGTATTCTGAAACAAATTCCAAATCAATAAAAGCATTGTAATAACTAATTTCACTTTTTTAAAACCTCTAATTAACCAGATATCTCTTCTAGAACAGCCTCCTTTCACTTAGTCAGTGCAATGTTGATCATTTAAGATTAAAATTAATTCTGAAAAGAGAAAAAAGTGATTGATACAAAGCCTTCCCGGAAACTGCTCCTTTCAATGGATTATCATTAGTAATCACAGGATAATCCTTCCTGTACTGCTTTGCATAATGTCCTTGGATTATGTATACACACACATATTATTTATATGTGAGTGTGTGTGTTTGTCTGTGTGTGTGTGTGTGTGTGTATGTGTGTAGCTTCTTTTTTTTTTTAAAGCAGGAAATCCCAAGTAAGTGTTTAACTCTGGGCATGTCACTGAATCTCTATTTGTCACGGTTCCTCAACTGTTAAATAGAGATAATCATAGCACCAACCAATAGGGTTGTTCTGAGGATCAAATGAGATTTACAAAATATTTAGCACCATGCCTGGCACATAGGAGGCACTTAACAAATGCTTGTCTGGCAGCTACTTAACAGCACAAATTGAGTCAGGAAGAAATGAGTTCAAATTTGCCCTTGTACACTTACTACCCGTACGACCCCAGACAAGTCCCTACCTTTGTGTGCCTCTGTTTCTTTCATCAAGTATAAATTGGGGACATTCATAGCACCTACCTCCTAGGGTTCTTATAAGGATCAAATCACATAATATTTTTAAAACCCCTAGCACAGTGCCTGCCAAAAATAGTAGATACTTAATAAATGCTTATTTTTTTCCTTCTTTCTTCCAAGACCATAACTTGGTCTTGGTTGTCTTAACCCTTTGCCTTCTAGTCCATCCTTTTATGAATCTGCCCTTAATTTCACCCACATGCTAGTCCACTCTCATGCTTTGTGAGCCATTGACATTTGGACAGCTGATAGAGTTGCTATTGAGGAACAAATGTATGAAACACACTGTAAAGAGGTCCAGTAGCCAGAAGAGCAGCAGCTGCAGTATCAATCATAGCAGTAGTAAAAGACTTACTAGAGGATGAAGCATCATGGATTACTCAACTTGATTTGTTTTGCCAAAACCATGAGTATTTTTCTGCCATTTTCTCATTCGTTAAAGTGGGTATGCATAGAACAAAAACAATCCAGATTGAATGCTGAAAAGTTTAGTCAAGTTTGTCCCCTGAAAAGAGATGGAAGAAGACAACTCCCCCTACTTCTTTGAAGAAGTGTGGGAGCATGGGTGTAGAATGCTGCATATAACAAGAGACTTTGTTTTTTAATATGTTATTTTTGAGGAACTGGGGTTTTTGCCTCCTTTAATTCTTTATTATAGGGAATGGCTCTAAGAGTGGAGGAGGAGGGAAGGTGAAAGTGAAAAAAACCAAAAGATCTCAACAAAAATTTATTTTACTCAATCCTGATGACTTCATATGTTTCAGGCTTGTTTTTAATTGTGGAATGGTTTGCAATGATAGATATTTCTATGATTCTTGTAGCTTGTTAGAGCAACTGCCAATTCATATTTCTCCCTCACTTGAATTTGCCTTCAGATACTGCTGTTTGACATTTCCATTGGCATGACTTCCCCTCCAAACCCTGCGTGTCTTCTCACCTCCCCAGTGCTAATATATCTTAATTTCTTGTTTGTATTAGATCTCGCACACTGCCAATCAAACCTCGTGGAACTTAGTAAACTCCTTCAAAATTTGGAAATACTGCAAAGAACTCAGTCAGCCCCAAACTTCACTGATATGCAGGTAAATGCATCATAGATGTTTCTTATAGTATTCCAATGGCCTTTCTGTGAATAGGTGAATTAATATATGAAGACAATTATAAAATGGAGTAATTTGGCATCTGAAATCTTTAAACCCCCTCTAGATCTTAATATGATTCAATGATAATTAGACTGTGGAACTAGATGTTGAAATAATCTATTGCTGACTGAAATTATCTAGTAGAAAATATCTATCTGTGTTATCTATCAATATCTATGCTGTGTTATATTAGCAGTGATTGATATGGTAATATAATTTGCAGAGTCTCAGAGGTAATGATGTTTTCATGCAAAAAAAGAATTATTATCTTTCTATAATAAATACTGTGTGCAGCTTGCCTAGTAGTAAATATTTGCCATTAAGTTTTTGACTCTATGATTTCTGCCCAATGGGCACCAGAGTTGGTATTCTCTCCTTGTTTTTTTTGTGTATAAGTATCTAACACAATGATTCTTTACTAACTTACTGTGCTCTCTTTGTCTATCTATACCTGTGTCATCTGTGTGAACTTAATAGCACTATGTTGCTTTTAACTATTTGTGTAATGTAGGCTAACTGTGTAGATATTTCAAAGAAAGACAAGCGGGTCACAAGACGATGGAGAACAAAAAGCGTCAGCAAAGATGCAAAAATACAACTTCAGGTACCGAATTCATGTTATTCGTTCCTTCCTTCTCCCTAATGATATCAATTTAACATGTCAGCCAGTGTTCCCTGCTGAGTGAGGTAGCCTGTTACTTCATATCCAATGCTATGGGACACCCAGTTGTATAAACTAGCACAAAGTATCCCTGAACAAATGTCAATTTTTTAAAAGAATCTCACATACAGTCATATTTACGCCTCTTTTAAAGGATATGATCCCAAGAAACAGAGATCCAAACTTTTTGAAATTTTTGGATCCCTATAATGTGGTTCGTTCTTTGACTTTTCTCCAACACCCACCTCCATTTCGATCTTTTCTTTTTTCTGTCAGGGCCACCATTCTCCTTCCAAGTCACCGACGTCCTTGACTGTGCTATTATATATGACTCCTTTTTTCTCCCTCATGCATTAGGACCAAAGTATGGTGTTGTGGGTTTTTTTTTAATTTATTTTTTGTTTTTGTTTTTTTGTATATGTAGTCATTTTGGTAATTTTATATAAATCTCAAATGTTATTAGGATAATATAATAAAGGAAAATTAATGTTGACTTACCTATTGGGAATTTATGTTGAGCACAAAACATACTGAATTTTTCTCTGTAGAATAGTTTTCGGGGCAGCTAGGTGGCACAGTGGATAGAGCACTGGCCCTTAAGTCAGGACAACCTGAGTTCAAATCCAGGCTCAGACACATAACACTTGCTAACTGTGTGACTCTGAGCAAGTCACTTAACCTCAGTTGCCTCACCAAAAAAAAAAAAAAAGAATAGTTTTCCCTTGACTTTCTGAAACAGCAGAGCATCATAAAAGGTGCCATTCTGTCATGAATACATTTTCTAATTATGCTTGAATCAGTTCTTTTATTTCTTGCTACATATTCCAAGAAATTTTGTGAATTTAGTTAATTTAATCTATCATAAAAGCTTGTTTTAAACTTTTATTTATCAAAAGTGATTGTATTTTTTTAATCGGTAGTGAGGATGGGCTTTTCTTTCCTACCATCATGGCCTTTTAGACCTTCTGAATCTTTATTCCTAAGCTCTTATGAGCCATGTTGAAACTAGAACACAAAACTTGTAGTTTTTAAATTTTTTTTTTTTTAGTAAAAGGCTCTTCATTGATTGATTGTTTTCTCCTGTTTTCATTGTTGAATGATTGTTTTCTATTCATTATTAAATAGAGGAGATGTTGAATATCTATTTATATAGATAAATGTTTGCAGATATTTAAAATAGAAAGAACCTTGGCCACCAGGAAATCGTAGCATTCTATGTCATAAGAGATCCCGGCAGAGTCATTTACTCCTCAGCCAACCTACCTCGTGTCTGTACATTCATTGTTCAGCACTACTGTGTAAGAATGATTGGGCTTGTCATTTAGCTTTTCTTTTTTGTTACCAGTATTAAAAAATCAAAAAGAGCTCCTTTTCAAAATTGTTGTTTGTCTTGCAAATAACAAAATCATCCTTCTCTAATATTTTGTTCCAATTCTTATTTTATAACTAACATTCTTTTGCTTGCTTACTAATCTGATTTATGGAAAATGAATGTTTCGAAGTACTAAAAAGCCACATTTTCTTCTATCAGAGAAGTCTATCTGTTTCCCTTTGTTGTATAATTTTTGAGTGATTTTCCTTTTATTCGTGAAATTCATACCATAAAACAAAAATCTTCCAAATAATTTCATGAGAAAATGGTGTAAGATGAGTTCTGGCAGTTTGACTTCCTGTGAGCTTTTGAAGCATTTTGTGATTCAACGCAAAAAACAAACAAATAAATACAACCGTGGATGTACCTACTACTTGTCTGAGAAAGTGGCTGTATTTCACGAATCAACATTAAACAAACAAAAGAAGCAAATGCCAAATTAATATACATTTCTAAAAACCCCAAACTTGCTTTCCAAGCTGCCTTATTTACAGATCGTTTGCTGAATGGAGCTGATTTTCGATTGACAGCCTTCTATAATCAGCCTGGTTTCCTTGCTGGAAGGGCTATTGACATTCCTTTTGTAGTTCATGGGTTTTGTTAAAAAAAAAAAAAGTGAATACAGGTGCCTAGTTTTATCCTTTTATTAGGCATATCTCACTCTTAGTCACAGGCAGTGTTTCAAATGAAGAAGAGAAGTTAAATTATGTGGATTTGTTTTGGGTTATAAATCTTTGAAAGAAGCAATTTCAAAGAGATGACAGTTTCTTCATTCACATCCAGCCATCTTAATGGTTGGGAAAGGGATTGGGGCTGGGTGGAAGCTGCTGAAAATTAGTCAAGTAGTCCTTGAGGAAATAATTTCATGCCAGTAACAGAAAAGGGTTGGGGCATTGGAAGGGGGGGTGTAGAGAAATGATGTAGATTTAAATGTGAGAGTTTTATTTTACTCTTCAGGTAGAATCAAAAAGAGGGAGGTTTAGACAATATCCAGCCAATTATGTCATTCTACTCTGAATGGTAAAACCCAGTATATCTTAAGGGAAAAATACTGCTGAATTGGGTACCTTTTCACAGTGCCACGATATTCTCATTGGTATCTGTAGACCAACAAAACTCCTTTAGAAGCCTCAAGATCCATTCTTACTTCTTGGCCATGTAAGTTTGTATTGTGGAAGGGGTGGGGTGGGGAATGGGAAGAGAAAGATGGAATTAAGGAAATGAAGCGACAAAGTTGAGACATCAGTTTTTTGTTTTGTTAGATACTGATTTTCTGGGGCAGCTAGGTGGCACAGTGGATACAGCACTGGTTCTGGATTCAGGAGGACCTAAGTTCAAATCCAGCCTCAGACATATAACACTCACTAGCTGTGTGACTCTAGGCAAGTCACTTAACCCCAGTTGCCTCAGCAAAAAAAAAAAAAAAAAGATATGGATTTTCAGAAATTTCAATTTGGGGTTTGCTAAAAAGGCAAACATTTATTTTTCCCTACTCTGCTTCGCCTGTTTTTTCCCAGGTGTTTTTAAGGTTGATATTAAATCATACACTGTTAATTAACTGTTGTAAAAATCATTAAAGGATTGAGAAATCTGTCTCTATCATCTTTTCCCTGTCTCATCCTTAAAATTCTGGCCTTTATCTTTCAAGATCACATTGGTTAATGTTGTTCCATAAATCCATTAATTTGAGATAATTCTGTAGTTCATATCGCAGCCTCCATCTCCTACTATTGTTTGTTATTTTTTTGAGGGTCATCTGGATATTCAGGTTCTTTATTTATAATGGACTACATTTAGCACAGCTGTGGCAGGAGCTGTTTTGAGTGAATTAATGAAGCATGTCATTATATTTCAAATTAATAGACTTGGGCTGGTATGGACTTGAATGTAATGTGTGCATGGGTGATTTAGGTGATTGTGGTCTTCTCTGAAGGGTCAAATTATGCTAATTACTTCAATGCAGGGGTGTTTTTTGGTTAAGTTATGTATGTGAATATACATATTTCCTCAAAAAGCCATTTGGAGTCTGGCCCCCTATGGTTCTGAGCATGCATGAGTCAGTGGAAAGCAGAATTTGTCCTAGGAAGTCCCGTGGGAGTGAACCTTTTGGAGAAATACTTCCTTTCTCCCACAGTTGACTTCTTTGTGTTTTAATGAAACCTAAAGACTGTCATGTGATTACAATTTGTGGATGTTTTAAATAGTTCACAGAAATATAGGAATATTAGAAGAAAGCTTCAGTGTGAAATGTAGTTGATAATGTTTGACACGTTAGCAGCATGAATTGAATGCTAGACACCTAGATGTGATAGGTAACTGGGAAAGGTATGCTGTCATGATAGATGCAGGCCATGAGCAATAGGCGGTGAATGATTAGATGTGAATGATTCATTTGTAGCTCCTCTGTGTCTTATAGATGCTTAAATTACACTGTCAGAATAAGGTCAGAATAAGTTCTGTGCTCGTTTTTGATACCTTAAGTATGAGGGAATCCTAGATTAAGAAGTTTATATGAAGAATAAATTTTTTGTGTGTATGTCACTATATATATGCGTGTACACATATGTAACTATGTGTGTATACACAAACACATACTAGATACAAGCAGGAATTTTTTGAGAAAGGTAAGGAAAAGAGAACACTTAAAGGAGGCAAAATAACTTAATTTAAAATGAAGTTCGGTTCAAAATTAGGCTAAAATTCTTTATATATGACTTTTTGTAGTCACTTTTTTATTTTACAGTCACAGTAGATAGCATAAAATAATTAGACTGATCTTTTTTTTTTTCTGTTAAAAACCCAGAGAATATGATCTGTCAGGTCAACTCCAAGAAGTGAGGTTATTTAAATTCAGAATGAGATTAGATCTCATAGCTGGAAAGGGCCATAGGTAATCAGGAGGTCAGTTTCTGGTCAAAGTAGAAAGGGGAAAAGGAATAGTCAGTCACCCCCAAGAGAAATCTGTTAGGGTTTTACACACTGGGAAGTTCAAGCATGAATTATTGATGTGGAGGAGAGTTCATGATGTGTCTCTATACACTGAAAAGTCTTTGGATGAATCAGTTTTACCTCTAGTTAATGTAGAAATTTCTGCATCTCACTAGGGCACCTGAGAATTTTATTATTTTACAGGATCTGTCCTATTCTTCCTAAGAAAAACTACTACTGCTGCAGAAAATCTCATTATAAAGTACTGGCTATTTTTAGGTAGTAAGAAAGAGAACAAGAATCTTTCTTGACTAGTCCTTTTATCTCCCCATTCCCAACTTTCTAAGTTCCTTTAGGCTCCTAGGAAACCATTCATGATAGACTGTAATCAGTTGCTGAAGCTTTCTAAGGTTGTGTGATTTTAAAATCAACTCCATTGAAACTTCAGGTACTTCATAGCATCTTTACTTTCTAACTTCATGTAACATCACATTAAGGAATGAAAATAACACTCAAATTTATTTTTAATTTTTTTGTTTAACCTCTAAGTTTACACATCAATTCATAATGCTTCAAATCCTAGGGTGGGGGAAGGGGTTTATTCAGCAAATAAACTTGAGACATATAGGCATCTTGCAGTGAGAATAAGCAAGTTATCCTCACCAGCATGGATGCTGTAAAGCTCTTCTTAATGTTAAAGGTTGGTGAAAGTAAAATTCAGTTAAAGACTCTCCCTCTCCCTTGTCTGATCATCTTCCATCCTCCCATCTCCCATGACCTCCTTTCCCATTCCTTGTTATCTCCTCCCTTCTCTTCTTCCATTCACTGTCAGGAAGGGCCACCTCCGAAAGGCCAGTTCAGCACCACACGGCGCCGGCAGAGGCTAGCAGCGGCAGTGGCTACAACAGTGAGTGGATTTAAAACTCAAGGGATAGTTTTATAAGGATGGGAAATTGTATAAACAAAGTGTTAAACTGGGATACCCTGAAGTTGCCCTTTCCACCTTTATGTGATGGAGTCAGTCTTAACTCATTCTTTATCTTCAGCACAATTAGGGCATGACCTTCCTTTATCTGTCCTCTTGTATGCCAGTAGTCACACGTGTATGTGCATGTATGTTATGGAGAATGCTGTTATCCAACCTTCAGACATAGGGAGAAAAAACCAGACGAATGTCAACCTTTCTCCAGTGGCATTTCCTCAAATTACACTATTGTTTTCTATAACATTGTTTTCAAAAACTTTTCTATTTGAACTCTGTATTCCTGAGAAAAGCCACATTATCATGACTAGGATCTGTATAGTTGGTTTCTGTTTTTGTTTGTTTGTTCTAATTATGGTAAGGCTATTTGAGACATCTGTGAACAGGGTAGAGGAAAAGAGAAGATGAATTCAGATGGGAACCCTAAATTGGATGGAAGAATTGACATCATAGATTTTGATGCAGAAGGTCTTTTAGAGGTTGTTTACTCCAGTAGCCTCATTTTAAAGATGAGGAAACTGAGGTCAAGTGAGGTTATAGGATTTGATGTAAATAGAACATTGAAGAGCCTGTGTTCAAACTTGGGGTCTCAGTGTCCAAATCTTGTGCTTTTTCTTCTGTGTCTCCTACCTTTCAGGTTTTTCATAAAGAGATGATATCTTCAATTTCTCTTAGTAATGGAAAAAACATTTTATGTGAAACAAATAGAGATAACACATCAGCAGATAAAATATAAAAAGGATAAATAGCAAAAATAAAAGACATTTTTCTAGGCATTTTTAAAAGTTTTTTTAAAGGAGAGATGTTAAAATGAGGCCCAGGAAGTCCAAGATAAAAAGCTGTAAATATATTGGAGAGAAGCATGCTAAACTGGCATTGAAAATAGGATGTAGAGATTTTAGGATAATGAGCTAAGATGTAAGTTCTTAAGCTGTGTGGGAGTAGATGGTGAGGATAAATTGAATCGTTTAATACAGAAGCTGTTTGAGGCATGAAATATAAAGCAGAATATTTCTTTCACTGAAGGAGCAGAAATCTTCCATTTTCCCAGTTTATAAATTTATGAACTGAATTTATAACAGTTGTATTAAGTAACATATTCTAGAGGTTAATTCCCTTATTTATGGCTTTTGATCATCATAACACAATGAGTTGACAAGGCAATTGCTTGTCCCATGAAAAGTTTTTTGTATGGAAAACCTTTGGCATTAATAAAAAAGGCCCAGATGTTATTAGGAGGATAATTAATTAAACTATTGAGTAATGGTCTTCTGTATTATATCTGGGTTTTGAGTTGAGTTGGCTGAAACTTGCATTTCATTATTAAGGACAGAAAACATTTTTTCACCATCTGTTTTGTAAATGCTTGAAAAAATTAAAATGAATAATTTTGAAATTCATGTATACCTGTTTTAATGAAATGATAGTCATTTCAAGTGCTGTCAGTAATATGATCCCTCTAATTGGGCTCGCCTTGAAAGGGATACTCAAACACTGTGATTAAACGAAATTTAATTTTATCTGTGTAGATATAATTTGTACTTAAATATGTAAGTACGTATATACATGGATGCAAGCATATATGCACACACAAATAATAATTAAGTTCCCCACAAATACTGTATTTTTGCCTAGTCAGACAAGTAAATTCTGAACACTACATTTTAGAAAAGATATTCATAAACTGGAGAGTATCCAGAGGAAAACAACCAGAATAGCAAGGAGCCTCAAGTCTATGCCATGTCAGGATTGGTTACGGGAACTAAACATTTTAGCCTGGGGAAGAAAGGCTCTGGAAAGACCTGATAGCTGTCTTCTAATAGTTAAAAAGTTTTCCTCTGTTAGACGGATTGTCTTGTTCTTTCTGACCCAAGTTCCAAGAAGATGGAACTAGGAGCAAGGGTGAAGTTTGGAAAGACGTATATTTGAACTTGATATCAGGAGAAAGCCTCTTAACAATTAGAGCTGCCCCCTCAATGGATTGAGCTGTGCCTGATTCCTAAGGTAGTAGGTCCTGCCTTATTGAAGGTCTTCAGACAAAGGCTGGATGGCCACTTGGTGACATTTTGTTCCAGTGTCAAATATAGGATGGACTTCATAATTACTGAAGCATCTTCTAATTCTGTGACTCTGTGATGCATCCACTAAAAGCTTGTAGATAGGTAGATGATAATAAGATAGTAAAATGTTGCAACAGTGTAGCTTAACTTAAGTAAAGCATATACATTTTACATTTACAAATACGGAATTAAATTTACATAGATTATAAATTAAAATATATTACATGTTAATTTAATACATTACTTAAAATTTAAATTGTAAATTTTACATTAGTAAAGTAAGAAAATTCAGAAGACTGTGCAGAGAGAAGATGTATTTGGTGTAAAATACAAATTTCAATTTTATGTCCTTTTGAAATACATGTCCTTTCTTCATTATCCTTCAGTGCACTGTGTACTTCTAAGAGGTCAGAAAATAATTTTGAAAAATTGCCTGACTTGTTAATAAAGAAATTTTATTTACATTCAATGAAGATGAGGAGCAGAATGGTATAGGGAATGCTGGCCTTAGCATCATACAAGCTCTGGTTCTAGTCCTATCTCTAACACATGCTATTTGTGTGATGAGGGGAAGTCACTTAACTACTAAGTACCTCCATGCAACTCCTTTAGACTGTAAGTTGCAGATGAATTGGCAATCTGCATCAGGACAGAGGGAGTTTCCATATGAGGAGTGCCCTACACCGATGAAATCACAAATCCAAAACCTTCTATTCCTAGTAATACTCATGTGCAAGTTAAGACATTGCCCTTGATGTCACTGGTCCTTTTCCAGAATGAAGGATGAACATCAAGTATCATCAGGCCAACATTTAACATCCCTTTGGAAAAACTAGTTAAAAATTGAAAACAGAGAAACCTTTTTTTAGATTCTAAATGGAAATGTAAACAGAGAGAAAAATAGAAGTTAGTTTTGGCAGACTATTGATGGAAATCCTTTGTGAATCATCTTCCCTTTTAATATTTAAAGAAATTCTGCATGAGGAAAAGAATAAGAACCCAACTCTTGGAGACCTTTGCCCAATTAGAGTTAGGCAGAGATTGACAGATAATATGGTGAAAAAGAGAAATATATGGTTCAACTTTCCAAAAGGTTTTGATTTATTTTTAGTCAGTATGAGGAAGCTTCTCTTCAGTCAGCAGTATTGGCATCTGTAGTGATAGGAAGAGGTCTCTTACAAGGAAGGAGAAGTATGCTTTTGCTCAGCCCACGAGATAGTAAACTCAAGGAGACAGTCTGTTTATGGAAGCACTGCTAATCCCTTGGGAAGATCTATTGCAATGTGAAACTACGTGAATGTATACTTATATATGTGTGGCTACAGTGTGTACAACTAAATGTAGTGCATTTCATTCCATTCGTGTGTAACATGTTTGATAAAGTCATCCTGCTTTTGAAATATATATTTCCTTGTAGTTCTTTTAAATGAGTTTGGGATATTGTTCACACACAATGGACAACCATAATACTTGTTTTTTCTTTTTTGTCTTATCATTATAAGGCAAGTGTTTTGAAGACTGCTAATATGTTCCTGAGTCTACAGGCCCAGTTTGGCATAGGGGCCTCTCTCAAGGCCTAAAGAAACAAGCACATATAACAACCTGATATTGTGACTGTTGATTCAGATTTTATAAGTAGAGGTCTGGTGTGTCACATTTCCTTCTCTCAGCTTTTGACCAAATGCCCTTGACTTGATTCCGTGCATCGCACGTGAATGATAATCAGTGCTCGTATTCCTCTCCTTTGCTGTCAGCCAGCAGTCACTTTTCATTTTCAGTCTTACAGTTTTTAAAATGCTAAGGTGTAGTGGAAACACAATCCATAAAAGTACTGTGACCCTTAAAATAGAAGAGTACAATTGTCCTCAGAGTTTGCCGTCCACAAAAAATGCTTGTATTTTATATAGAGTGCAAAAATGTCCGATCTGATACGTGTCAGAAGACGGCGTGATGAGATGCTCGTCTTTCCTAATTCTTGGATTTTCTGTGCAGGTTCCTTTCAGTGCAACAATGTCCCCCGTTCGGCTGCATTCCTCCAACCCCAACCTTTGTGCAGATATTGAATTTCAGACTCCCCCAAGCCACCTGACTGACCCCCTGGAAACTTCCACGGATTACACAAAGCTTCAAGAAGAATTTTGTCTCATTGCTCAGAAAGGTAAGCTACAGGTCTGTAATAAACCTTCCCTGAAAGCACTCTTGGTTAGAGTTAGCCGTTCTCTATCTCTCTTTCTTTCTCTCCTTTTTCTCTTTTCTCTCTCCATTGTTCTTTTACTCTCTCCTCTCTCTCGTTTTTCAAAGCGAAGGCATTTACTCCCTCTTTTTTTGTTTTTCAAAGCAAAGACATTTGCTGAAATGACATAACATGAACAATAATGCCAGAAAATTTCCACAAACTCAGAGTATGATCTTTTATAATTACACTGAGAAGCAGAGGCAAAAGTAGGTACTTATACATAGAGAATACTAACATAGAGGCACACATATAAGGAACACAAATGGCAAAGGCAATTAATTCATATTTATGACAGTAAAAGGCCTCCTTTCTACCATTAAATCTGTCATTTTTTCTTTTCATCTTAGGCAAAAATGCTGGCTATGTTAATTAGTTGGATTACAAAATGACATTTTATTTTTATGCCTTTTCCCTATGGACATGTCAGAAACCGTATGTGTGTAATCACATATATGTGCCTGCAATGTGTACAGTACATTTCATTGTACTATTATTCTGGTAGTATGGTAGTATTTGATGAAGTCATCTTGTGTTGAAAATGTTTTTACACTTGTATTATATTAGCTTGGGATATTTTTCACACACGGTGGAAAACCACAATATCTGTTTTATCTCTGTATTTCATCTTTATGGGACAGGAGCCTCGATTATGTGGTTTAGAACACTATCCAAAATATAGGAAGATCTGTTAGAAACCCCAGGGGGGAGAAACACTGAAGAAAATGAGCCTAGGAACATGAATGTTAAAGGTTTCAGTTTTGATTGAACTAAGTGTCAATATAGAAAGTCCAGCAGATATTTTAAAATCAATATCTGACTGATCTCAGTGTCTTTCATTTATGGGCTTGGAGTCAGAAGATCTGGGTTCAAATCCAGCCTCTGCCTCTTAGAATTTGTGAGAACTTGGAGAGTTAACTTCAGTTTTCTTGGCCTTGATTTCTTCATCTGTATAATAAAGGGGTTGCCCAAGATAGCTTCTAAGTCCCCTTTTTAGCTCCAAGTCTATGAGTCTCTGTTGCTGTTTATTAGGTACTAATTCATATGCAGGGCAGCTGAGTTGCACAGTGGATAGAGTGCCGGGCTTAGAGTCAGGAAGACCTGAGTTCAAATGTGGCCTCAGATACTTACCAGCTGTATGACACTGGGCAAGTCACTTAACCCTGTTAGCCTCAGTTTCTTCATCTGTGAGCTGGAGAAGGAAATGGCAAAACATTCCAGTATCTTTGGCAAGAAAACCCCAAATGAAGTCATGAAAAATCGGACCTGACTAAACAACAACAAGAAATTAATATACAATTCATCTACAATTTATATACAATACTAAGACAGATGACATTCAATTCAACAAGCACTTAGGGAGTGGTAAGAGAAGGTAACTAGCATTTATTAAGCACCTACTATGTGCCAGGAACTGTGCTAAACATTTTACAAATATCATCTCAAATGTAGTAAATGCCTATCAGGTGCAAAATACTCTGTTAGGTTTTGGAACTAGGATTTTTTTAAATAAGTCTGTAAATAAGCAGTCACATCTTTAGTATGATTAGGAGTTACCTGGAAGATACCCAAAATCCCGTACATCTCTAGCTTTGTAATATTTCCATTACACAAATGAATCATCATAGAGGTTCATTCCTTTGGAGACACTACTGGCATCCAGTCGTCTTCCTTTAAAAACACAATTTCTCCTAGATGCTATCAGTAACATCCAATTGTGAATTAACTCTCCAGATCACTTCCTTTCGCTTTCCTTTTTTCAGGCTGGGCTGGAAGTCAGTGCAGTTTGGAAGCCTGAGTAACATTGTTAGGAGAAGTAGGCCTAGGTGCCATGCCAAAGATGCAGACCCTGGACAGACAAGTGGCAAGGTCAAAGGCCAAGTTGGAGTGTGAAGAATAGAGGAGAATTCTTTCAGAGGACAGGAATTAGTACAGAAATGGGAGCAAATTTGCCAGCTTCACAACTTTGCCCAGGGTTGACCCTCATACCGTGGTTAAAGCATCTAACCAGGCACTTTTTCTTAGCATGGTCTCAATGACTTTTCTTTTGGAGGCTAAATGTGTTGTTCCCTTACATCTGTGCATACTGGTGACATGGATTGACTGTCCAAACCACTAAGTGTTTTGGCTTTTGCAGTCCAGGTGTGACCAGCTGGTCACACGGCTTCGAGAGGGTACGTGTTAATGAATCTTACCAACAGCTAAGAGAGAACGACAAATGACTAGAGCTCTGAGCAAGCACGGTCTAGTTCCTTGAAATCCTGGCTCTCTTAGTAAATCCCTGCTTCAATAGAATTCTAAAGCCTCTATTGAAACTACACATTTTCTTCTAGGGCACAAGCACAAGTCTATAAATCCTTCTTCCTAGAAAGTAAGACATTCTCATGATAATCGGGTGACTTCTCTAGAAATAACTTCTTTAAAAAAATAAGTGGGGGGAATTTGGCTTCTAAGGCTGTTTCTTGGATCAGGGCCTACAGCTCTTATTCCTTCACCTGAGATTTATCACCACTGGAATAGGACCTCTGTGAACAGATGCAAAATACCAATGCCTGGCTAGAGATGAGAAGATGCTGTTGCCATTTTTAAAAATGGCATTCTTTTGTTTTTATATGCATTTTTATAACTCACAAGAGCCTTTGGTTTGTTATTAAAAACAAGAACACCTTTTTTTATGAGCAAATTACTGAAGTACTACTTTATTTTTAAAAGAACAAATATTTGAGAATTCTAAAGCAAATTAAATCTATCTGCTGTTTTGGTATCAGTGGACACAGTTTCAGAGTCTGAGTAAGATTTCACAAGGGACAGAAATCTTCAACAATTGGTTTTTCAAAATCAATAAAATCCATAGATTTTACCATTCCTTTTAATTTTTTTGCTTCATTTTGATTTAAAACAAGCCCTCCATTCACCAAGCCCCTCTGTGTTCTAGATCACCTAGGCAAGGCAGGAGTTGATTTTGTTCTTTTACCTGAGACGGAAGCACGGCAAATTTCTCCCCACTTGAAAGCATGATGCTCTTTATTCCAAAACAAAATGCTGAAGTCCCTTACCTCCAGGATCAAATATAAAATTGTGTGTTTGACATTCAAAATCTTTCATAGCCCATCCTCTTCCATGTTTCCCGTTTTCTTTACACCTTCCTCCCCTCCTGACCGCCCAGTGACACTGGCTTCCTTGCTGGTCCTCAAACAAGACACTCCATCTCCAGACTCTAAGTATTTTCAGGGTCTGTTCCCCATGCCTGGAGCACTCTCCTCCTCTCTGCCTCCTGACTTCCTTCAAGGCCCAGCTAAAATCCCATCATGTACAAGAAGCCTTCTCTGATACAAAGAGCCTTTCCTCAATGTTAGTGACTTCTCTCTATTCTCTCCCATTTGTTCTCTGTACATCATTTTTGTATGAAGTTTGCATGTGTCTCCCCACCGCTAGACTCCTTGAAAGGAGGAACTTTTATGCCTTTTTTTGCATCCCCAGTGCTTAGCACAGTGTTTGGCAAATAGTAGGCATTCAATGCTTATTGACTAATTAATGGCCTGACTTTGGGCAACAATTCATGATAAAAACCACGTAACAGTTCATAGATAGTGTAGTGAAAGCTTTATTTTAGCCACCCCTTCCTGCTCCCAAATAGTAGTATTGAATGTTAATTACTGTTATTACTCAGCCCCCCCCTTTTTTTTTAGTTTATCTGATGCTAGACTTTAAAATTTCCCTCTCTGATTAATCCTTTTTTGCATCATTATTATTCATTTTCTTCTCAAATATAGATATTCTGACATTCACTTTTGAGGATAACATTTAATTAGGTTGTGTTCATTTTAGATTATTAATTAGTGAAAAGAAATGGAAAAGGTTCCTAGTAATTAGAAAAGAAATATTTCATTTCCAGGTAATCTTTGATGCAATTAAGAATTATTGTACTCTCTGCAGCAAGAGGACACCCTCAGATGTGCTAATGTATCATTTGTAGCCACAGCTAAAAAATAAAAATAAAAAATGGACTTTCTGGAAACACTCTGTTTTTTTCTTTCATTCTCCGTCCCCTTCAGTGCATTCCCTTTTGAAGTCGGCTTTTAACAGCATAGCTATTGAGAAAGAAAAGCTAAAACAGATGGTTTCTGAACAAGATCACAATCAAGGCCATAGCACACAGATGGCAAGACTCAGACAATCGCTTTCTCAGGTAGGTTCTTGCTTTGTTTCTGAATGCATGCCACATTGCCGCAGGGTATAGAGGGGCCATAGGGACAGAAGCACCCCTACCGAAGAGTCTGCAGATCATGGGTGTAGTCATGAGGTGATTCAGTGACAATGTGTCTTCATCTGCAATTCTGCTACCATGGCCAAAGATGAATGAGAAGAGCACACTCATTCTCCAGGTGGTGTTAAAGCAAGCTCTAAGTTTTCAAAAAAGAAAAACCTTACTTGGTAGTATACTATTATTATTCTTTTGCCCTTTTCAGCTCTGGTACCTGCCTGCCTTCTTAAGGTCATTTAGAGTAGCGCCTACTTTTAGTGTGATCTAAAGTCCCTACTTTTAATGTGTAATTAATTAAGTAAAAATTAATAAGTAATTAATTAACAGTAATGCACTGTTGAATTCAGTGTTTATTTGTAGATTCTTCCCCTACCCTAGCTAATATATTTTAATGCATTGAAAAGTCATAAAATAACTATCATTCTTTTCTTTCTTTCTGTTTGATCAACCAGTTGTAATTGTTCTCTTAGAATTTCTTTCCCTTCCACCTAGAAAAATATCCCCAATGTCCTGACTCGACTTTATGTTATATGATAAATATGAATTATACATACGGGCAGCTAGATGGCACAGTGGATAAAGTGCCAACCTGGAGTCAGGAAGTCTCATCTTCCTGAGTTCAGATCTAGCCTCAGACACTTACTAGCTGTGTGACCCAGGGCAAGTCACTTAACCCTGATTGCCTTAGTTCCTCATCTGTAAAATGAGCTGGAGAAGGAAACGGCAAACCACTCCAGTATCTTTGCCAAGAAAACCCCAAACAGGGTCATGAAGAGTTGGACATGACTGAATAACAAAATGCATTATGCAATGAAATTTACTTATATCAAATTATCGTGCATATTAAATTTGAAAGTCCTGCCAGAAATCCTTTAGACTGTCTGTACTTTGAGCTTTTCTACCCCATTCAGAAGTACTTCATCTGAATACCCATATTTACCCTTCTCTTCATTTGACCTGTCCATCTACCCTCTTAAATTAAGTCTTGTGAAAACTCTATGTTATGCAACTTTATGTGAGAACTCAGTGTTTATGCAAAATATTGTTCACTTCCTGGTGCCTTGGATCAGAGCGATGGAGCAAACAAATCCTGGGTAAGTGGCTTCCTATACATATCAGATTCTGCTTGAATATTTCCCCTGGGTCTGTAAAACTTAGACTTGGACAAACATCATTATATTTGGTGCCATTGCAGTATCGTTTTTTTTGTAGGTTTAGTTGTGGCTCTCTTTTATTGTCCCTGCACATAGGATAAAAGTGTGGTCAGGTAATTTACACACGCTGCTTTGAGCATCAAATTCAAATGATCTTCTATAGCATGATCAGTAAAAGTGGCCAACTTTCCATCTGCAAAATAAGAACCTTTTTTTACAACTGTTAATTTGTTGTAGTTTCTTCTAGAATGCTCATAGGCAAATGGCCACTGGACACTCAGTCAGTATTTAATTGATGGTCAGGATGGCTATTTTGATTGTAGAGTGAGTATGAAAGATAGGACAAGTAATCATCTTGGAAACAAGTGAAAATTTTCATTTTGCTGCCCCTGGAAATATCACAGCTCTCTCTTCCGCTGGTGGAACCAAAGTAGTATGAACAGTGATTGTTACTAAAAGGAGAGATACATAAAAGAAATCTGATAAAGAGTTAAAGGTAATAATAACAGCAAAGATTGAGAGAAATAGTGAGCCAGTAAGAACATTCTTTTTAAACAAATATGATTATATCAAGTGCATTAATTGAGATAATATGAGCAGGATCAAGGTGCTCTGTTTCAGAAATAGTTATTATAAATTCTCATAAGATTGGACTCATAAGGTATTCTGGCAAGAAATATTAATAAAAATTCATTGTCAGACTCCAGCCCTTTTCCCATGGCATTGCTTACCTTTCCAAATAACACTTTTAAAAAAACAGCTGCAAAAACAATATAGCATTATTTTATTTACGTGACCCTTTTTCAGGCCAAATTCTTCATTGACCATATATTAGTTTCACAAAATTAACAAAATTTTTCCATATTTAGCAAACTGTTTTTATATATTGACAATTATATTAATCTTACCCTCAAAAAGAATTGAGAAATTATTCAAGGATGTAGTTGAATGATCCCAAAATTAAAACACTCGTGAATTCTAATGCTACATTTTATCATTCTGAAAAGGAAATAATCCTTCCAGAAGCCTTGATAATAAGTATTCAAATAAAGTCTGTGTAGTACATATTTACACCTTTGAAAATTCTAGGGGCAGCTAGGTGATGCAGTAGATAGAGCACTGGCCCTGGATTCAGAAGGACCCGAGTTCAAATCTGACCTCAGACACATAACACTTACTAGCTGTGTGACCCTGTGGAAGTCACTTAACCCCCCATTGCCCAACCAAAAACCAAAAAAATAAATAAATAAATAAAATTCCAAAACCATATGATAATTACTACTGGAATGGCCCAAAGAGCAATTATCATAAGTTCTTGGAATTCACAAGGACCTTAGAGGTTGTCTCATCCATTTTCCTACTATAAGTAATGGGAAGTTTTACAGTATTAGTGACAAAATGATTATTGAAGTACTGCTTAAATTCAGTAACAAGGAAATCACTTCTACAGAAGATACCTCACAGTATTATTAAACAGTTGTAGATTTTAGAAAAGGTGTTAAACCTAAATCTGTCTCCTTTCAATTTTCATCTATCAGATCTAGTTCTGCCTTCTGGAATGGGTCTTTTCCTTCTTCTAGACAGCCCTTCTAGACAGACTTGAGGATAGCTATTTCTCCATTTAGTCTTTCATCTTCTGCATAATTCCTCAGTTTTTTTTTCACCTCAGACCTTCTTGAATATCTTAGTTATCTATTCAGAAGCCTTGATGGATAAAGATATAAGAAAAGAATAAATTCTTGGTAATACATCTTTTGACCTATACTAATTGTAAAATCTTACTATGATTAGGATTGTGATAACCCTAGTTTGTTATTGTAACTCTTAAAAGTGTAGCACTAGGAAATGATCATAATGGTTTTTGTGTTGTTTTCACTACAACAGAGTACAGCAGGAAAAATTTTTCTTGGCAGGTAGACATTATCCTTGATTAACGCAGTCTAGGATTCACTGGGTTTATGGCTTTTCTTTTAAAGCAAACTTATCATGCCATTGGTTCATATTAAGTTAATAGTCTTAGATCTTTTTTCCTTAAATTATTCAAGCTCCATCTTTCCTATCCTGTACTCTGCAATTTATTTAAACCCAGCAGAGTTTTTTTTTAACTGCATATTTTATTAAAATTATATGGGTATATATTTTTGAATTATCAAAGCATTCAAGTATTTCAAAGGTCTCTTGACATGATATAATGGAAGAACCATTGGTCTTGGAATAAGAAGGGTTTTGAGTCCTACCTCTTATTAGCAATGTGACTGTGGACAGATCACTTAACCTATTTCATGAGTTGTGTAAGGAAAGTACTTTACAAAACATGATGGTGGTAGTAGTAGTAGTTGTAATAGTAGTAATAGTTGTAGCACTAGTAGCAGTACCAATTTAGCAAACTTCATGATCACTGTATAAAGCATGTAGCATGTAAAGAACATGTAATACTCTTCATTATGTATTTAGCAAAAATGTTACCTGCCATGTCAAAATAGTTGTTTATAACCTTGGTCACTCTAAGGATGTACTTTAAGAAGCATTTCCTAATATAACTTTCCTAATACAACTTAAATAAGCTCATTTTAAAAAATTTTGTTAACCATCTACTGTGTATAAGACACTACACTAGGTCCTGTATGTGTGGATTCACATACACACACACACACACACACACACACACAAATGCACGCAGTATATTTATATACACATACACACCTGTTATTTATTCTTCTGAATTTGGTTTGCATTTGAGAATCAGAAATGTTATTTAATATTAAAGTAGATCTTGGATTTATACTTATCAAACAGGGTATTTTGTGGTAGTATCTCTTTATAAAAGATTTTTTTCTACAGCTCGTAGTACGTATATTTAATGAATTCATTCTATACATTCTTCCTACATACCTACTATGTGCTTAAGACTACACATTGTTTTTGTTTGTATTTGTATATATACCCACATTTATACATATTTGGGCATTTATCATAAACACTGCTGCAGCTTACACTCTTGAAACTTTAAAATTGGCTTATGTGTATGAAGACAGAGATGTTGGCTGATACTATATTAGATTCTGGATTTATGCCTGGAGAAGAGGACATTTTATATTGGTGTCTCTTTATAAATGACTAAATTCCAAATCAGTCATATTGCGTGTTGTGTTTAAAATAAAACCCTCCATAAAAGATTTAAGCATTCTTAGTCCTCCTGGATTAGTATAACTAATAATACATTCAACTTGATGTTAGCCCCTCTCTTCAATAAATTGATCTTAATCTCTGTAGTTAGTTTTATCTTTGACTACAAAACTCATGCACAGCTTGTGCTTACTGCAAGGGGAGTTGATTCCGAATAAATGACCACAGAATCTGTGCACAGCAATAGGAGTTCTGCATGAGAATGTAAGAGGAAAAAACTGACTCAACATTTATAGTAGTATTATTAAAATGTCAGTCATCCAGCCTCAGACACTAGCTGTGTGGGCAAGTCACTTAACCCTGATTGCCTGCTCCACCCTAAAAAAAAATTGTCAGTCATATGATTGAGTACTCATCTTTTTCATCAAAGTCAATGTACCTATGGCAAATTTTTGAGGCTGAAAAAGCCATTCCAGATATCATCATTTCTTAGCATAGTCATATACAAGTACCATTTTCCTAGTCAAGTTTCATGAGTCCTCTTCTTCATTAGATATCTTATGTACTTACAGAAAATAAAATAACTCAGCAAATGGCTTGTCATAGCTCATTTTAGAGGTCTCAAGTTCATTCTTTCACTTCAGGTACTTTCTTTGAACCAGAACTTAATGTATTCTTATCCAGAAGGTTTCAGTTTGCAAACTTTGCCCTAAACTCATTTTATTATATATTTCATGCCATCTCTCTCCCATCTGACTTACATTAGACCATTCCTTTTAGAAACCAAGTTTTACTGAGTATAATGTGGATATGGTAGTTCTTCCCCCAGGGATAGAAAGTACACAAATATGCCAGCGACGTGGGCAGTGGGGGATTGGACAGAATCTGGGATTGCTGGTTCAGCCTTGCTGACTTTAGGCATTTGTGTTTATTCCAGGGCTTTTAGGGCAGAACTTTTGTAAGGACAAGGAAGCAGTTGTGACTATGTTTGTACCCTCAGGAGAAGGGCCTTGGAAAAATTAATGGGTCGTGCAAAGTTTACATAGGCAAGATGTGATTGAGTGTTCAGACTGCCCTAAGAAGAGGGAGTTTGTGAGCATGCTTGATGGAGAGGCAAACCAAAACCAAACCTAATAGTTTAAATGAATTTGTATTCATCAGCCCGGCATTTGACTGTTTGTAGTATGCCTTTCATGATTTGGGCTGAATAAAGGGTTATTTCTTTGTAAATGGCGTGCTACGGGATCAGATGATGAGCCTAAGCATTACATATATCTTAAAACCATCCAATTGGCCAAGCCATCACCATAGCTCTTCCTTACTTGCCAGTGTGTTACATTCATTAGGCAGTTTCCTTTTTTTCCCTCACTTCCAACAGTATAGTTTAATACTGTACTTTTGGTGTCAACTTCTCCATTATTCCATTCATTTACTGGACCCCATTCTCTTGATTTGTTGTGATAACTATTCATTAAAGCAGCACTTCTCTGAGAATACCAGTCTCTCAAATATTACAAAGGAAGAGGATAGAGTTCTAAAAGTGAGTCATGGGAACCAATAGTAAGAAGAAAAAATGTTAATGAAACCACAGGCATTGTCTAAGTGAGTAATAATAACAGAGTCTGTACTGGAGGTTAGCTGTAAAATGAAGCTTACAGCGTTTCATTTAGTACTTGATATCAGTGAGCCTCATAGCTCTTTGTGAGGTAAGTGATCAAGATAAAATAAGGTAACAGTCTAAGAATGACTCAGAACGGGGCTGTTTGCATGCTGGGCTGTCTGCTGTTGAGATTGCCCTACCTGTGACTGTATGTTTATTTCTGTGTTCTGTGCTATCTAAAAATAACAGTTCTTCTACCGCTGCATATATGTTATCAATGATAATATTTTCCACATAGTTGTTCCTTTCCAAAATCCAAGTCATTAGCTACTGGAAGAGACCTTGAGAGATTATCTAATATTCTGCTCTGTCTTTGGGGCAAGACCTCATTTAAACTCCTGAGGGCAGATAAGAGTCTAACCCATTAGACTCTTAAATGCTTCTAAAGAAGAGGATTCTGTAACTTCCTTTAATATTAGTATTTGTTTCTTAAGATTCCCACTGTCAGGAAATTTTCCCTTATGTTTCATCTTAATCTATCATGCAGATGCTAGCCATATTGTTTCAGTAGAGCTGAGGAATGACTGATTCATCATCCATTTGGATAAGAGGTGGCTGGAGATTGATTTTAATCACACATAGTGGCTCAGTTCATAGCCACCCAACAACAGTAATCACACGTAGTTTGGGGGCATGTGAAGTAGGGGCGTGTGTGTGTGTGTGTGTGTGTGTGTGTGTGTGTGTGTGTGTGTGTGTACTTCCCAATGGAGAAACTCTACACTGATATCGTAACTTGTAGTTTTAGTGAGTTGCCTGGGTCACTGAGAGATTAAGTGACTTTTCAGTGATCACATAGCTAGTATGTGTTAGAGGCACACTTGAGCCCTGCCTTGGGAGCAGATAACTCTATGTATATAAGTACACAAACACATGCAGACAACATATCTATACCTTTTATTGGCTGTCTTCCTGTGTGTACAGTTGGTGGCTACAAAGATCTTGATACACAGAGCAACTTCAGTATACTTCAGACTATAATGGAGTAAGAACATCCAAGCTTGTTCATAGGTATTACAGAAGTCATGGAGAGAATGGGAAATATTTTAAAGTCCCAACTAACTGGGATTCCTTCCCAGGATAAATGGTCAAAGGCTTTTTGGGGAAGTGTACTATTAAAATTATTCTGAAAATTTATTTTATCTTGAATTAAGGAAAAACAATGATTTTTTTTACTTGCCTAAGTTCCAAGAATATGGAAAGCAGGCACCTTTAAATTTTCTATATTCCTTCTAAGTGCAGGAAATTAATCTAGTGGTTTATTTTCCTTTATTTTAGCAAGCCACTTTGTTTTCATCCAAGTACTTATCAGTTTTCTCAAAATGGGGAACACACTTCCTCTGTCATATTATTTTACCTGACTTCATCACTACCCTTATGCCCCCAACCTGGCCACTTATAGCTTTGTGTCAACTCTTTCCCACACTTCTAGGGCAGAGGAGGAAAGTCAGATAACCAGAATACAAAGCCTAATTAACTATCTCCCTATAACAGAAAATGTGTGTCTAACTTTATCAATGTTATTGTAAAGTGCTTGGAACTCTCTTTGGGGCCCATTCTATAGGGCTCCTGGAATTCCAGTTCTAGTTAGAGTGCAAAGAGGGTCCCACTTTATACCAAACTCCATGTAATAGCAGGTAGTTTTATGAGGAAGTCCCAAAGCACTGAAAGTTATACACTGGAAGAAAAGTTGCATAGTGTATTATAGAAAGATCTGTCCACTTAAATTATAAGGTCTGTGAGGGCAGAGGCTGTCTTGTGTGTTTGTAGTGGTGTCTCCAGTACTTAGCACAGTTCCTGGTACATAGTAAGCACTTAATAAGTGCTTGCCCTTCCTTCCTTCCTTTCTTCCTTCCTTCATTCCTTCTATCTATCTATGCAACCTGAGACCTTTCCTAGATATATGACCCTGGACAAATGATTAACCTTTGCTTGCCTCAGTTTCTTTAACTGAGTAAAATGGGGATAATAACAGCACCTACTTCACAGGGTTGTCATGAGGATTAATGAGACAATATTTGTAAAGTGCTTAGCACAATGCCTGGCACATAGTATGTGCTATTTAAATGTTCATTCCCCTCCCCCACCCTCATCTATCCTGGGAATCTGGTTACCTGCTTTCCGCCCCTCGGTCTACACTATGCTTGGTCCCTCTGTGTGACCTCACGCAAGTCACTTAATTTCTGGGCCCCATTTTCCTCATTTATATTATGTTTGTAATAATCATTTATATTAAATGATCTCTAAGGTCCCTTTTGGTTTAGTATTCTAAGTAATTTGAGATTAAGGCAACTGAAATTTTTGTGTTATGTTCTTTGTAGCAGCTGTCTGTTTGATAAGGAGGCAACTTTTGATCTTCTGGTATATCTGTGTGTTTACATTAGATAGCTTATTACTTGTAGACTGACATTCAGTGATTCTATAACCATTCATAGTCTAAATGTAAACCTGGAGCTGTAGTATCTCCTATTACTGAAACATTGCCCATCTCATTAAAAATAGACTGAAACTCACCTCAGTAAATGGAGGCAATTTCTTTATTCATTTCATTCCAAAGTCAGTTCCAAGATGTTCATCCTTCACTCAGATAATTTCTGAGTTTTGGAAAATGGCACGGAAATTGAAGGAGCCAACTTTCTCTGCCAGTAGATCATCCTAATATTCTTCATTCATGAAAAAGCCTGGAAAAAAAATAATATATATGTGGTGGTAGCATAGGCCTAAAAATAGCGGACCTAGATCTTCTGGTGAAAAGGAATTAAATGGGTCATTCTTTAGAGATATAGGAATTCTTTCTGGTGGCAAGATGACATTTGCTAAATGGCATTAAGTACTAAATAGTAGATTTCCTTATATCATGTAAGAATGAATATGTCTTTATTAGGCCATTTTTTCCTTCTCACCACTAGGCTTTGACCTAGCATGCTTTTGAGAGAAGAGTGTGATATAATTTGCTGCCCTTGCTTTTTTTGAGAAGTTAGTCTATGCCACACCTGTGTGTCTGCTCTATTATATGCCTGCTTACTAATTTGAAATTACATGTATAATTTTTGTTGTTTTAAGGCACTTAACCAGAACGCTGAGCTGCGGAGTCGCTTAAACCGGATACATTCAGAGTCTGTTATTTGTGATCAGGTTGTCAGTGTAAATATTATTCCTAGCCCTGATGAGGTAAGACTTTGGTCTTTGATGGATTTATACAGTATTTAGCATATTGAGATCCATGGCTTAATTTTTTTCTTTTTTTTTTAATAGTTCTTTTACTGTTGGTAAAATATGACTTATCTGAGTATTTGTACAGCAGGCAATTTTGTTTTCTTCAGAGTGAAAGAACAGTCTTGGAGTTTGACATCTTATACAGCCTTTGTCTTTTGTCTAAGTCTGCTTTATTGATGTTTGGATAATGTGATTGGACTTTTTGTTGTCTCTATTTCTGTCCTAAATTGTGAAATTTTTTTTTTGTATCTGTCACAACTTTCTTTAAAGTGTTCACCAGGCATTTTTAGTTGAAGATTCAGATTAAATTTCCATAAGCATAGTGCCTTAAGCACTTTCCTGGTCTACTTTGTGATGACATGAAATGAAGACAGGAGAAAGGAGGAGAATATTTAGCACAAATCTAAAATTTGCGATTCTTAATGACATTTCCTGTGATTTCATACCCATAATGTGCATTGCATGATTTCCCTACCCCAAAAATAAAAATAAGAAAAGTCATGTGCATGTGATCATAATGAGATTGTTTCAGTTAATTTAAAGGCTTTCATTGCAGACATTTACCTTCTTAGAAAACTGAGAAAGTAGAGATGCCTGCCTTACCAATCAGTTGCTTAAAAAATATTGCTTAATAAGTACTGCCAACTAGCAATAAAGATGAGGAGACCTCTAGTTCACCATTCTGTTGTTGTATTTCCATTCTTCTAGGATCTGTGATTTCACTGGTTTATGTACCCCACCCACCATCTATATGTTGTCTACATGATAGCCTATATGACTATCAACCTTCTAAGCCTTAGGAGCTTTATTCATGAGTTTCTGTGGCCACATAAATTCTTGGGATGGTAACCAGTCTTCAGCTGATAAGCCTTTCTGTACTTGAGTAGGCAGAAATAGCACTATGGGATTTAGAGACCTTGGATTAGATAATCTCCAGCTCCTCTTTTACAAATGAAAGACCTAAAACCCTGAGAGGTTAAGATGACCTGTCCAAGGCCACAGAGATAATGATTAGAAGAGCTAGAATTCAGGACTAGAATTCAGACTCCAGCATCCTGGTATGTTTGCCTGGACATCTCCAATTCCCCAGGCAACAATCATACAGCCTGTTTGCCACACTGGATTTTTTTCTTCTTCTAGAAATATACGGTCAGTTATTTGCTGTGCTTCATTCAGACCAGCTTCTACCTGTATAAAATGTTGTTCCGACATTGAAGTACTGTAACAGATGACACCCTTGCATTTTGTTTCTTTGTAGCCTGGGGAGCAAATCCATGTCAGTCTCCCTCTATCACAGCAAGCTGCTAATGAGAGTCGGCTCTCTATGTCTGAATCTGTCTCAGAATTCTTTGATGCCCAGGAGGTACTTCTCTCAGCTAGCTCGTCAGAAAATGAGGTAAGTGATGAGACTGTTACCTTTTTGTAGTCTTTCCTACTGATGGTTACCAACTTGAGATGGAGAAAAAAACACGGAATATGGACATTTTTTCCTTCAAATTAGAACTGCTGTTGTATCTCTGTTGAAAGCACAAATATTTTTCAAAACCAAAATATCTCTCCCTGGCTACCACTTATCTGTGACATCCTTTAGGATGGCTGGTATGCTACTACTACTTTCTGGCATTTGTATCCCTAGTACTCACCACAGTGTTTTGCATACAGTAAGTGTTTTTGATAAATTATTTTGCAGAAAACATCTGTGTAAAGTTATCCTTAGGGTTCATTAAAATTTGAGATAATTAATGAGACCAATATGTGTGCCATATATCCCTCTCAGTGAGAAATTTCAGACCTGTTTATTCCATATGACCAAGACTCCTTCTGTAAACATGTATTATTTATACACTTCCTGGTGAACTTGGGATCTTGGAATCTTTTGACCTTGACAGGGAGAACCAGTAATTCACACAAAGGTTTCTTCCAGAAAATAGGGCTGTATTTCCTAGAACACAGAATTCAAATATACATTGCTTAAATAAGGGAAATTTTAACTCAAAGATAATTATCGTGATCTATCAGATAAGTTCTTTGCATGAAGAACTTAGTTCTACAGAATTCTAACAATAACTCCCAAGAACACACAGCACACACACATATATAATGGAGATAGGTAGGTGTATATATCTTCCTAAGTTCCTAATGGACCACTTCTGGAATTTGGAATTTATTTAAATTCCTGGTCAAGTAAAGTGAAGAAAGAGGAAAGATTAGGAAACTGACTAAGAATTACAGAAAAGTTGAACTGGAAGTCACGCTAGGAAACATTTAGTAAAATCCCCATTATTTCACAGATGAAGCCTAGAAAAGTGAAGTGTGACCAAGATCAAGGCACTAAATAGTGACTGATACATCACCACATAACACATTTTGATGCAGGTTTGAATCCAGTGTCTGATAGATGTGACCCTGGATGTACCATAACTTTTCTGAACCTCAGTTTCCTTATCTGTAAAATAGGGATAATGGTGCCTGTAGCACCTGCTTCACACAACTGTTATATGATCAGTCTACCACCCATCACCAGATTAAAAGCCAGATTGCTCTTTTGCACACAGTGTCTTTTGGCAGTTCTTAGAAACAACCTCAGGCAAGTGCTTCATAAACCTTAAAGTACATCAGCTATTATTATTTTTTATCATCCAAGGTCACTATAGAGTAAATGGCAGGATGAGTCTGAATCTCTTGACTCTAAGGCCAGTGCTTTTAAGGAGACTCATGAGCCTTTCAATTCCAACATCCTGAAGACTTAAAACTCTCTAGTCCCAAAGATCTCTGAGCACAAATGAGCAAACATGAGAGTATATCTTTAAGAGAGAACCCCAAAACACCCCTCAAAGAGCAAGGTTCACCTTTGTTTTCTAGCTCTGTGATCCATTCACTTCTCCCACTGAAGGTCATCCCTTCATGTGTTACCAGAGGGGGGAGGAAAGAGAGGGAGAGAGAGAAGAGAAAAGAGAAGGAGAGACAGAGAGATGGAAGGGAATGGGGGAAGACGGGGAGGAGGGAGTTTACTTGCACTTCTGAGGAAAATGGAGTAAGAATAGAGGAGGAATAAAGTGTTTCCTAATTCATTTGATTAAATTTGAGAGTTGCCTTTCCCTTCCTAATGGTGTGTGTCCTGTTCATAAACTCTTCTCTGAGGAGGATGGGGTAGAAGGCAGAAGAGGTGAAAAAGAGAAAGGTGGTTTCTTTCTATCTTTGCTTCAGGCCTTCGTAATATTCTCTAATCAGAACTATTCCCTGCTCTTCCTATTCTGTCTCTCTTCCTTGCCTCTAGTCTCAGAAAACTAGGCAACCTCCTCTTGACAAAGCTAAATCTTTTACTTATGCCCTCAATCCCTTTCCCTCCTAACTTCCTTGTGACCTTATTGCATTCATCATTCCCTGTCTTCCTCTTTCATCTTCAGTCTATTCCACAACATTGCCTCCTTGCCCTTTAACATCCTTAAAATAAACTTCACTTAACCGTGCTGTCTTCTCAAGCTGCCTTCATATGTCTCCTACTCCCTTCAACTTTCTGAGGATCAACTTAGGCTCAAACTTCAATGAACCTTGCCTTTTCATTCTCTCTAACCCCTGATAGCCAATTAGTTGGTAACACTGTTTGGTTTTACCTTTGCAATATCATCCCTTCATGTGATGCCCCCTTATCTCCACCAAGGACCTCAACATCTCCCAACTGTACTCTCATGTTCTCTCATGGCATGTGTATTTTTATTCCTTTCTTACCCTCTCTGTTAGATTTTAATATCCTTAACTGCTAATGCATAAATCTGTCTTGCTTGACCTTACATGTTTGTAATGTTTGTTTTTTGTTTGCTTTTTTTGTTTGTTTGGGTTTTTTTTTTTTTTTTTTTTGCTTTCTTAATACACAGGACAGGAGGGGAGCAGAAAGAATTTGGAGCTGAAAATAAAACTGAATTAAAAAAAAGATTTGAAGATCCTTGAGAGCCAGGGCTATATCACTCTTTTTTGGGGGGGGGGGGCTAGGCAATGGGATTAAATGACTTGCCCAGGGTCATACAGCTAGTAAGTGTCAAGTGTCTGAGGCCAGATTTGAACTCAGGTCCTCCTGACTCCAGGGCTGCTACTCTATCCGCTGCACCACCTAGCTGCCCCCTGTATCACTCTTCATTTTTATATCTGCAGCACCTAGCACATAGTAGGATCTTAGTATCATATATCTCAAGCTGGAAGGCACCTCTAAACACAATCTAGTCCAGTTCCCTCATTTTACAGATAAACAAAGCCTAGACAACTTACCTGACTTGCCCAAGGTTTCAAAGCTAGTAAAAGCAAGATTTAAACCTAGGTCCTCTGACTCCAGAGTTAAATGCTCTTTTCACTGTGGGTCCTGAATTTATGTTTGTTGAATCAATTTCATATCTAGGGTAGTCCTATATTCACTCCTCTTTGTATTATGAATCCTATCATGCTTCCCTGGAATGTTGGGGTCAAGTTGAGGATGCTTTTACTTCAGTCATATTTGGATGTTTATGAGGACCCCACTGCACTTAACAGTTGGTTCAACCAAGTAAATCAGTCAAGTATTCGAAAACTCTTCCCCTTCTTTGATTAGATTATTTCCTAAATTCCACCCAACTGGTCCTAAATATGGCCCCCTTCCTGGCACTTTATTATGACTTTAGTCTACTTCCCCACCTCAAGTAGGTTGTTGGTGAACAGCTAGAACACATGAGACCATACTTCGCCCTATGCCCACATTATGTACTGGCACTGAGTCTGCTGACAGAGTGTGATATTTGGCATCCATTTTGCATGGTTGAATAATATAAGGTGGGTTGGATTTGGGATTTTTTTTTGTTTTTTGTTTTTTGTTTTTTTTTTGCTTTAAATCACCACCCACCACCATATGGTAAACCAGATCACTCTTTATGCTAAGTGGTTATGGCTAGTTCTTAGAAATAATCCATCACATTTCAGCATTAAGTAGGTGGTAGAGGTCCTAGTGAAGTAACATTTGAGTTTCTTTAAAACAGACCAAATTTTTCCCATAGATTTGAATGACACTTTGTTCTTACAACTTTCTGATTCCTTTTTTTCTTTGTATTATTTTTAACTTAACAAACACCAAATAAAATGTGCATTTCCATATACATTGTAGAATAGAAAAAAGTTATACATGAGACTACAAATGTCTATATGGAGAGCTTTGCTTTTTTTTTAAGCATATGATACATTCAACATATAATTTTCAAAGCTACCCTACTTAACTGCGAATCCTTCAATCAATCAATCAATCTACAAACAAGTATTTATTAATCACCTACTGTGTGCCAGGCACCTACGTACTAGACACTAAGGATACGAGTACAAAAAATGAGACAATCCCTACTCTCAATGAGCTTATATTACTTCTAATCTTCATTATTTGGGGTGGGGAAGAGCGGGAAGGGAGTCATGGACCTTATTCCTAAATCTTTCTCTCCCTTATCTCTACTCTTTTATTGGGGAAGAGGAAAAGAAAAACAAACCCATTGTAACAAATAATTCATAGTGAAATGAAGCAGTTTCCCACGTTGGCCGTGTGGGAAAATATTGTATGTTTCATTCTGCATCTTAAGGCTATCACTTCTTTTTGAGGGGATGTGTACCATGTTTCATCATTAGTACTCTGAAATTGTGGTTGGTCATTTCATTGATCAATGTTTTTTAAGTCTTTTAAAATTATTTTTCTTTACAGTGGTGTTATTAGTATATAAATTGTGATCCTTGTTCAGCTAACTTCACTCTGCATCAGTTCATGCAAGAATCCTGTGGCTTCTGCAAAACCTCCCCTGTCATAATTTCTTACGGAACAATAATTTCCCATAACATTCATATACCATACATACTTTGTTAACTTGTTCTCCAATTAATGTCCAGTGTCTTAGTTTCCAGTTCTTTGCTACTACTAAAAAAGCTGCTAGGGGAAGCTAGGTGGCACAGTGGGTAGAGCACCAGCCCTGGAGCCAGGAAGATCCAAGTTCAAATCCAGCCTCAGACACTTGATACTTACTAGCTGTGTGACCCTGACCCAGTCAGTTAACCCCACTGCCTACCACCCCCCCAAAAAAAAGGAGTTGTTATAAATGTTTGTGCATATGGATGGATCATTTTCATTTTTCTTTGATTTTTTAGGGGGTGTATTTTAAGTATTTTTCATGTACGTGTGTATTTTTGTATATTATGATCTTTGTACTCATCTTTACTTAGCATTCTAAATTATAAGGACTGTAAAGGCAAACTCTGTTTTATGTAAACTGTGTTGCTAATCCAGTGCCTAGACCGTGTTCTGCATGTCGGAGCTGTTCAATAAAATGTTTGTGTGAATAAATGAATGACTTTTGTCATGTGTAATTTCAAAACTTCACCAAGTCCTCCTGATGGCTCTTTTAGAGATAGAGCTAATCCTGGGCTTTCAGAGGTTCTGCCAATGGGGCACAAAGTTTTGCAGGTTCTACCATTCCTCATTCATCTAAATAGAAAATTTAGTGCTTTCTTACAGTAATTGTTTTGTTTCTCTCATACATTCCAATTAAACTTATTTCTGTATAGGCAAGGAGGTGATGTAAGCTACTATATTAGCCAAATTACTATATATTATCACTATATGTTTTGCTTCCCCCCACTTTTACTGTACCATAAACCCTGTGAAGACAGAGGCTGTGTTTTATCACAGTCATTAGTTAGTCAACAAGCATTTATTAAGTGTTTGTATTGTGTTAGACACTGTGCTAAGTGCTGGGAATACAAATTGAAATGGAAAGAAAGATTATCCTTACCCTCATGGAGCTTATATTCTAATGGAGGAAGACAACCATAAAAGGCACTGAAAAGGGTAGGATTGGGGCATGGGCAGGGTGGGGTTGGCGGGGTTGAAACTAAGCTTACCCAGTGAAGAGTGAGGGGAAATGTTAGGAAAAGTCCAGAGTGTAACATAAAGGGGAAGGGAGACAAGGCTAGTCTTGGCTACCCTCCTTAAAAGGAGGTTCTGGGTGGAGCCCTCCAATCCAAGGGAGGGGCTGCAAATAGTACTTAGAGTGAGCTTCAGAATGAAGAGCTGGAAGGATGTAGAAGCCCAGAGGACAACCTCGAGAGGAATAAAAACTGGTCTAAACCCTATATCTACTCTAGTGCCTAACTCAGTAGGCTACGTATAGCATGTGCTTCGTAAGTGTTTTTGAGTGAGGGAATGAATAAGTTTTGACATTTAAGATTGTAAAACTGCATGTTGCTTGTTCATAAGTAGAAAATGCAATGTTTTCTCAATGTCATTTTCGTTGTTCCTCCCACTCATTCCAACTAAACTTGTCTCTGTGCCCTTGGAATTTCATATGGCACTCATTACAGAGTCCTTTAAGATGTATTTAGTGACAAGTTGGATAAACCTGAAACAAATGTCTTAAGTATATTGGTTTGGTTTTTGGCCAAGATCGTATATATTTTTGTGTATTATGTGCACGTGTCTGATTCTTATCACCAACGACTACTGCTATTGCTGTTTCTGTGACCACAGAGATTGTGGCCCCAGAGATTAAGTGCTTATTGAATTTATATGTTCTCATATTTTGTATGCTATATTCTATAGTTCTCTTGGAATTTTTCCTGCACTCATAGAAATCCCACACACTTATATACAGCAGCATTTTGTCTGGAGGTAGATAGGTAGATAATTAAACAAGAGACAATTTCTTCCTTCCTTTTTTTTTTCTTTCTTAAATGGAATGAAATAATATTTGTAAAGCACTTAGCACAGTGCCTGACACATGGTAGGCACTATAAGTATTTATTCTTTTCTTTCTCTCTTCCTTCTTTGCTTCATCCATTGATTTTATCCATATCTGTCTATCTATCTGACATGGAGTCCTAGAATGGTTGGGCTGTGAGGGAGTTTAGAGAACATCTGGTCTAACTTTCCAGATCAGGAAACTGAGACCCAGAGATTGAAGTGTGCCCAAGGTCATACAAAGACTTAGTGATCCATAAACAGAAACATACACTATCACTTTTTTTTCAATTTTAGGCTCTATGTAACCGTAACATTTTTTTCCCCGAATAGGTTAAAAATCTTTGAAGTATCAAAGGATATTTTACTTCTTTCATTGATCCTTATATACATATATCTATATGTATTCACAATCCTATGTATGCCAGAACCTAGGTCTGATTTTCTTGGACCATGGGGTCTCAACAGGTCAATTTAGTCCAATCTACATACATTAAGTGTCTGCTAAGTGCCTCTCACTGTGCTAGGTTCTGGGAATACAAAGACCAAAAATGACACAGTCCCGCCCGCAGGGAGCTTACAGTCTGACTTGGTACAGACATCATGTATGTACATATATATATACATCTCTGTCCAAATTCATATATGCAGTTGTATATGTATACAAGTATATGTGTGAATTCATATGCAAATATGTATAAATAAATACAAGATCATTACTATATAAACAGTAGCATTTTAGGGGATTAGGAAAACTCATGTAGTTGTCATGCTAAGCTGAGTTTTGTAAGTGATGGAGATGAGGTGCCAGTAACTTTTAGATATAGGAGGCTTTTAAGTAGGACATGAAGTATCATGTATTCAAGAACCCGCAAATAGGCCAGAATGGCAGGAACAAGGAGGATGCACGGTGGAGTAATGCATAAGAAGCCTGGTCCATGTAGTAAGAACTTGAAAGCCAAACAGAGGAGTTTATATTTGATCCTGAAGGTAATCCAGAGCTACTGGAATTTACTGCTTGGAGGGTTGACACAGTATTTTAGGAAAGATCTGTATTTTAGGAGAGTCACTTTGGCAGCTGTTTAGAAGATGGATTGGAGAGGGGAGAAACTTGAGTCGGAGAGACTATAGTCTACGCAAAGCTGTGCTGAGGACCTAAATTAGGATAGTTGTGATGTGAGTCAGGAAAGGAGACAGATATGAGAGGTATTGTGGTGATAAAACTTGGCAACTGGTTAGATATAGGAGTAGCAGAGAAGGATGAGTCTAGGATTGCTCCAATGTTATAAACCTGGCCAATGGTTCCTTTGAAATAGAGAAGTTAGGAGAACAGGAAAATAATAAGTTATCTTTTGAACATGCTGTTTGTGATGGGACATTTAGTGAAGCTGTCTAGCATAGTTGGAGGTATCTGAGTAGAATTCAAGAAAGAGATGAGGGCCAAATAAGTATATTAGAATGGGGGGGGGTAGTAATCTACATAGATGATAGCCAAAAATATGGATACTGATGACATAAATGAACCAGATATAGAGAGAGCAGAGGAAGTCAGTTCAGATTCTAGGCAAACACCCTCAAATAGGAGGTGAGACATGCAAAGGGACTTTGTGAGTCTGCAAAGGGACAAAGAAGGATCAGTTTGGTAGGAGGAAAACTAAGAGAACATTATCACAAATGCCTAAGGAGGACAGTGTACAAATGGAGAAGGTGGTCAGTAATCTCAAATACTGGCAAAGTCAAAAATAATGAAGACTGGAAAGAGGCAGTTGATTTAGCAATAAAGAGAACATTGGTAACTTTGGAAAGAGCGGTTTCAGCCAAATGGTGGAAGCCAGATTCCAAGAAATTGAGAAGTGAATTGGAGGTATAAAAGTGGACACAATAATTAGAGGCAGCTTTTTCTATGAGGTTGGCTATAAAAGGGAGAGGAAGTGGAAGTCCATAGCTTAAGTGGATAGAGCAGTCAAATGAGGGTCTTTTTATAACGATGGGGGAGATCTGGACATGTTAGTACATAGCAAAAAAAGAGCCAATAAAGAGATCAGAAATTAGGAAGGAGAGGAGGTGATTAAAGGGGCAAGTTCCAGAAAGAGACCGTAAAGAATGAGAATCAAGGACACAAACAGTGATTTGGGAGGATGGTATTAAGAGGATTTAAGGTACAGAGTTTGGGAGAAAAGGCAGCTTGTGACAGATGACCTCAGTTTTTTCTGCCTTTTCATTGCTAGTGTTTTTCTGGTGATACCCATTTTATATTAATCCATTTCCTCTCTTGAAAAGAGAAGGAGAGAGGCATATAGGTAGCGTTGTGGATAGAGCACCGGCCCTGAAGTCAAGAGGACCTGAGTTCAAATCCAGCCTCAGACCAGGCACTTGACACTTACTAGCTGTGTGACCCTGGGCAAGTCACTTAACCCCAACTGCCAAAAAAAGAAAAGAGAAGGAGAGATTGACTTAACTACTTAAGAATAGTGGTTTGGATTCTCTCAGCCATGTATACCATCTTCCAAATGTTTTGACTGTTCTTTTTAAAGACTTAGTTATTTCCACTTTTTGAATTCCATCTCCTTTCCTTTCTTAGGCTTCGGATGACGAGTCTTACATCAGTGATGTGAGTGATAATATATCTGAAGACAATACCAGTGTTGCAGACAACATTTCTCGGCAAAGTATGTAGTGTTGTGGACTCTAGATCTGTATAATCTACAATGATTTTTCCAGCTGTATAAACATTGTTTTTCTCTATAATTATCTTTCCAGAGCTGATTCCCCAATTGATTTCTAATTTTTATGTTCTGTTTATGTAGCTGGTCCAAACAGTAAACTGCTTGAATTTTAAATTTGGAAAACAACTTAGTAGCCATGTAGTCCAACCCATGCCCCAAAATAGAATCCTTACCATAGCCTGACAAAGAGTCAATCCAGCCTCCTCCTGTGGACCTCCAATGAGAGAGAACTTAATCTTTGGATAGCTTTAGCTGTTAAAAAGTTCTCTTCAAGGCTGAATTTGTGTTTTTGCAACGACTGCACTTTGCTCCTAGTGCTGTCATCTCTGGGACCAAACTGAAAGCCAATTTAATTCTTCTTCAATATGATTCCTCTTCAAGTTCTTATCACTTATAGCTTAATAACTCTTACCCCTCAGAATACTTTTACTGTAAAGTTTTCAATGACTAAAAATGGCATAGTTCTGGTTCTTTTTCCCACCCACTTAATTTGCTTCTTGAAAGTCTGTTTTAATGTTATTTGCATATATTTAACACCTGGTAAGTAAATTATACTCCCATGATTGTTTGTGCATTAATGAATAGCCATGTGTTGATAGAATGCAGTTTACTTAAATGTACTTAAGAAAGGACATTATAATGAAGGCTTAATAAGTACAGCCTTTGCACAATTTATTTTTTTTTTAAAAACATGACTCCTCTGGGCCTGACTTTGAAAAAAGTAAGAACAAAATATCTTCCAGTCTATGATGCTTGTCTTTCTCTTCCAGTCCTTAACGGAGAGCTTACAGGAGGGGCATTCCGAAATGGACGTCGAACTTGTCTTCCAGCTCCATGCCCTGATACCAGCAACATTAATCTGTGGAATATTTTGAGAAACAACATTGGCAAAGATCTGTCTAAGGTCTCCATGCCTGTGGAATTGAATGAGCCCCTCAACACTCTGCAGCATCTCTGTGAGGAAGTTGAATACAGTGAGCTCTTGGACAAGGCCTCGGAAACTGATGACCCATATGAGCGCATGGTAATGTTTGGTGCCGCAAGGCAGTGCTCCTCAAAACAAAACAAAACAAAACAAAAAAAACCCTGCAAGCTAATTTCAGAACAGGACTCAGCTAGGCCACAATACTTACCTTGTTGGCTGTGTTTGTTTTTTAAAATCATCAACACCTAGACAGCTAAGTGGTGCAGTGGAGACGGTACTGGGTTGTAGAGTTGGGAAGACCTGAGTTCAAATTATGCTTCAGCAATTTACTGGCTTTGAGACTGTGAGCAAATCATTTAACCTTTCTTTGCCTCAGTTTCTTCTCTGTTAAATGGGGATAATAATAACACCTACCTCACAAGATTGTTGTGAGGATCAAATGAGATAATTTTGCAAACTTTAACACATAAGATAAATGCCAGCTATCATCATCATTATTGTTGTTATTATTAGTGTAGTTTGCATTTTTTTAGGATGTAGACACACTCCCTCTATGATTAAGATAGAAATCATGTCCTTCAAGTAAAGGGAGGCCAATTCACCTAAAGGCTTCTCTAATACCTGAGTAAATTAAGGCCAAGTAGGTTCATATCCTTTTGAGAAGGGATTTACGCTATATAAATTTTACTCCAGCTTAGAAGTTTCCTTAACTTAGTATATAAAGGAGTTGTGTCCCATGTAGTTTGAAGATATACCTAGCAACCCTTTTTCTCTGCTTCTCCTGAAAACCAAGAAATGCTATTGGCCCACATCATAAGGATTTTAGGCCTAGTTTGGGCAAGTAATTCATTTTCTCCTTGGCCTAGACTTTACTACAGTCTATGGCTGAAAACAATCTCCTCCATCTGCCTAAGGCTACACCCAGTCAAGAGGTGCCCGGGCCCTCCCCACCTGAGCATAATGCTGTGATCATGGGGGCCTTGTTCCAAGTAAGAGCCAGTCTTGGTCATTCAGTTCCAAGGTAGTTCTCAGAGTATCCCAGGCATTTTCTTTCTTGTCACATTCAAGTTTCAGACCCTTTTTTCTTTTTCTTTTGAGGACTTACATCATGGGAAACGATTCTGTAAACAAATAACAAGAAAACAAAATAAAATGAGATACTTTGCATGACATTTAGAGCGTCAGTATGGGGGTGGAACTCACCTGGCTACACCTTGCCTACATTAATTTTCTTTCTCAAATGTTTTAACAGGTTCTCATTGCTGCATTCGCAGTTTCAGGATACTGCTCTACCTACTTCAGAGCAGGAAGTAAGCCATTCAACCCTGTGCTTGGTGAGACGTATGAGTGCATTCGAGAAGACAAGGGATTCCGATTTTTCTCAGAGCAGGTAAATCTACTTTTATCTACTTCTTTTCTGTACAGGTAGGTAAATCTGTTATGGAATAGAAGTCCTCTAACCAGAAAGCTTCTGGGAGTAATGTAGAAAAAAATCTCCCCCAAATTAAAGTACATTTAAATGTTGCTTATTAATGCCTGAAACTATTTGTGCAAATCTCCATTAATTCAGAGAAGCATTTTAAGATTGTTTCATTAAAGTGTAGCTGAGCTGAATATCTCTTAAAATGTCATTTAAAAAGAATGTTCACATTGCATATAATGCAAAAAAGAAGGCGTTTTTGTCTTAATTTCTAGATACTCTGTGTGATTCTTTTTCTTCCTTTTCTTTAACCAGGTTAGCCACCATCCACCCATTTCTGCCTGTCATTGTGAATCAAAGAATTTTGTGTTTTGGCAAGGTTTGTACTATTTTTTATAACTTAAAGGTCACATTGATGAGCAATTGAAGAAGTTTCTCATCTCCAAATGAATTCTATGTAAAGTTCCAACTCATGATCTCAGAGGATGTTACTAATTGCTGTTGAGTTCAGTTTTAAGTAATTGAATTTACAACTTTAAATTAGGAAAAAATCAGGCTAGTAGGCAGCTGTACTCTCAGTTGAGGCATCACTGTTGATACTGTGACTTTGGGCAAGTCATTTTACATCCCTGATACTCACATGCTTAAAAATGAAGACCATTAAATCTGCTCCCCTTCTCTGAAGATTAAAGATAAAATGTTCACAAAGATTTTGTAATCTTAAAGGAAAGACTCTACAACATCCTTTCTAAATGCTGTTTTACTTGTTTGCATAAACATGATGATTACATTTTCAGTATTTGTGAGGACAATTTAAATTTATCTGTGAAGTCACTCATCAAATATCAAACAAACATTCATTAATCACCTACTGTGTGAAGAGCAGAATATGCCAGCAGCAGGCCTGCACAACCTGCAGCCTGCCAAAGGATTTCGGTGGGGGTGGGGGGCCCTGTGAAAATATAGAGGTTGCGCAGGCCAGTCCTACAGGGAATAAAAAATCTACATAAGAGGCCAACAATCCCTGCCTTCATGGTATCTATAGTGAGGTTGAGGTGTATGGAACATACCTAGATAACTGTAATACAAAATGACACATGTTACAAATGGAAGGGAAGGACAGAGGCATTTATATAGAGTGTCCCAGGCACTGGGCTAAATACTTTACAGACATTATCTCATTTTATCCTCATAACAACCCTGGGAGGTAGGTGCTGTTATTATACCCATTTTTACAGTTGAGAAAACTGAGGCAGACAGAGGTCTAAGTGACTTGTCCAGGGTCACATAGCTGGTAAGTATCTGAGGTCAGATCTGAACTCGGTTCTCCCTGACATCAGGCCCTGTACTCTATCCACTGTGCCACCTGTTTGCCTCTAAAGAGAGGTCAGAGGTAGAAGTAAAATGTCAAAGCATTAAAATCTCTGATTAATTAGGGTTAATCTGGGCCCAGCTGGCAAGTTTCAGGCAGAACCACAAAATCTATAGAAATTCCGGTGAAGACAATATACAAATTAGGCCAGTGCCTGTGAATAGAGTCATCTGTATATAATAGGTAATTTTTAATGTCCTAAAGGATGTTGTGTTGCTCATATAAACCACCCAAACCTGAAGCATTTTCAAACACAGACTTTAGTGCAGAAAACATAAAATCTCACTTCAAAATACATTTTCAACAAAGAAAATAAAGCAGTGAGTCCTGTGTAAGAGATGATGAAATACACTTACCTTCCTCTTAGTACATCTGTAGGGTACCTGAGAGGCTGTTGCTTAACTGTTTGTTTGGGGAGGGGGTGGTTTGTTACAAGGGACGGTTCAGTGAGGGGGGTGGTATGAAGAGGGAGAGACATGTTTATCTATAGATAGAGGTAGAAAGAAAAGTACAGGGGGGAGAGAGAGAGAAAGAGAGACAGACTATATATGTGTGTTTTAGTAATATGCCTGTGATAAAAGAAACACAGGGCATTTACAAAATGTCTTTCAGAGAATATTTACCATTCATCAAAGGTGCTAAAGTTCTGTGATTAAAAATCTAACGTCTCTTTATTTTATCCAGATAGAAGAGGGAAATAATTACCAATAGGCGTATAACCCATTTCCTAAGAGTGGAGAGAATCAACATCCAGATATTACCTGATTAGTCTGTATATCACTTAATCTGTTGGGATGGATCTGACTCCATTTCTTCATAAACTTTTAGCATCTATAGTGTCAAATTTGTATTCTTACTTCCTTGAGGAATATATTTCATAAATATGAATGATAATACATGGCATTACAGTATTATGAACATACAACTGATATATGGCATATTCATTCTTTACACCTTATAGTTATCATATATGCCCCCTGTCTATTTCAAAGCACTTGACATTTGCTTGTTCATAGTATACAGCTTTATTTCATTTTATTATTTGGGCAGAAAAATGAAGCATCCGTTGTAGAGAGGTGTCATTTATATCTTTCAGAGTCATATCTGATCTCTTCATGCTCAGGTAATCTTCAGAAGACTCGTTGCCTTAATATCTGATATCTTTGATTTTATCAGAAGTAACTTTTTCATTGTTTCCTAACCTGACATCTACCATTCCAGGATCCCCATCGCATATCTAACCACATAGAATAGCTAGAGAATAAATTCTTGTAATTGAAATCTATTTCTCTTTTGTCCTTCACCTTTTCTGTCAGATATAAGATGGAAAAACAAGTTCTGGGGGAAATCCATGGAAATCCTACCTGTAGGAACACTGAATGTGACACTTCCAAAGTAGGTTCCCTTTTTTCTAAAGAACAGTACTTTTAAACATTATTGGGGCCAAAGAGAACTTTCTTTTAATGTGGAACTTCTACTGATATTATTGTAGTATGAAAGACAGCATGGTGTAGTGGATGGGGAGTTGGTCAAGATATAGACAGAGTGAATTGGAGGTTTACTTAGAGGGAAGACACCAAGATTAAGAAGGACTGGGAAAGGCTTCTTGTACAAGGTGAGATTTTAGCTGAGACTTGAAGGAAGCCAGTGAAAACAGGAGTTGGAGAGGAAGAAGAAGAGTAGTTCAGGCACAGGGAACAGCCAGCCAGTGAAAATGCCCAGAGTAGGGAGGTTATGTTGTGTTCAAGACACAGCAAGGAGTTCAGTGTCACTCGATTATAGAGTATGTAGAGAGAAGTATGGTGTAAGACTACTGGAAAGATAGGCAGGGACCAGGTTATGAAGGAAGACAAAAATTCACATACTGGCTGTGTGACCCTGGGCAAATCATTTAACTTCTCACTGCTCTGAGGATCTTCAAAATTCTTAAGTTACATAAAAGGTTCCAACCTCCACTAGTAGAAGGACTTTCCTCATCTGGGAATTCCATATACAAATAAAATCATAGATACAGGCCCTATCCATGAAAAAAAAAAAACCCTTTGCAAAATCTTAAAGGGCTATATAAATGTTATTATTATGTAAATCTAAGCTGATTTTGAAGTGTCAATTTAATTCAAAAAAGCATTTATTAAGTGCTAATTATGTCCAAGATGCTATGGATACAAAAACACAAAATTATAGCAATGCCTGCTTTCAAGAGCTGGTCAAGTATATTATAATGCGGAGTCCTTCCATGGATGGGTTGGGGTCAATGGCTGCTCAGATCCATTCCAACCCTCAAATTCTGTGCTTCTGAGGTTTCATTAAACTCTAAGAAGATAACATGTTCATAGGTAAGAAATACAAAATAGATAGTGTAAACAGAAAATAATTTTGGACACAACATGGAGCATCCAGAAAAAACATGGTGCAGGAGGTCGAGTTGGGAAGACAGAATTTTAGGCACGGGGAAAAGCCTGAGCAAAGATACATAGATAAAAGTTGGGATGTCACAAACATGGAACAAATAGTACATAGGCCTGTATGACTGGAATGTGGAGCCTGTGAGTGGAGTGAATAATGTGAAATAATATGGATAAGTAGGAGCCAGATTGTGAAGGGCTTTAAATGCCAAAGAGAGAAGTATGCATTTGAATATAAAGGGAGCCACTGGAGATTTTTGAGCAAGGAAGTGACATTATCAGGTCTGTGCTTGAGAAATATTTGTTAATGACCTATGGGAACTTTGGAAATCCAAGGCTCTACAAGCACATGCATTGAACTTTCTATCCTAAGCAATTTGTGTTCCATGGTAAAGATGACCATATCCAAATTAACCAAAGAAGAGTTAATATGTACTGTGTAGCATTGAAATGTGTCCATTTCAGCCTACTATCAATCCCATTTCTCCAAGAATGTCCTGCTTTGGCCACCTTGTCCCTAAAAGCACTAGGGACAGTTCTGAGGAACTGTTCCTTATTTTGGAAGTCAGCCTAGCGAAACCAGGCTGCTTCCACAGATGCCTGTCAGCACTACCTCTTCTAGTGACTCTGAATAATTCATTTGCATAGTTTTGCACTCTCTCTCTCCTCCCCTTCATTATTTCTACCTTCTCCACTGTGCATGTCATTTATTTGTATGAGAGACAAGATAACGTAGTATGCATAGGGCCAGTGTCAAAATCAGGACATCCTGGCTTCCAATTTTGCACCTGACATATACTAATTGTGTCACTATGGGTAAGTCACTTAACCTCTCAGTTGTTCAGACTCTGAGTTACACATGCATTACCAGTGTCCATCAAGGAGGGAATTTCCACACCAGTGTAATCACACATACATGTATGTGTGTACAAGTATATGTATATTTATGTATGTGGGCATTTATATAGTTAACTGTAGATGTATAAATAGAAAACTTTTATATATATAAATATACATATGTATGTGTCTACATAGCTAACTATAGATAAAAATTCATGTGTGTGTATATATATATACTCATATGTACATATGTCTATGTAGCTAATTTTATACATTGAAATAGAAATACTTTGTATAGATGTAAATATATAAAGCAAGAGTGTGTAATATAGTATATGGTGGTGCATAGCCTATGCATTGGTGTATTGTGTGCATTAGACTATACCAATTCATTTATTTTAATTTGGAATTGTTGATTTTTTAACTAGATTATGTAAATGTATGCAAATTCATGTGTGAGATGAATTCAAAGAGCTATGAAAACATATTTCCACATATATTTCTTGGGAAAAATGCTGATAACCTTACATTAGTCCACTGAATTTGTAACAGCTTTGTGGAATTATCTGGGAAAGGCCATTAATTCTTTCCAAATAATCACTCTTATCTCATGTATTTATGGGTCAGGATCAGAAACTTAGAATCTGCTATCAGAAAAATCACTGACCACTTAAAAACCTCCAAGGAGGTAGCAAGAATTAAAATAAAGGGACAGGAGCTTTGGATGACTAGTTTTAGGTTTACCTTCAGTGCATAAGTAGAGATGTCTGTGCATTTCATTGTTTTAGTAGTAACACACTCTCTCTCTAGGTATGGAGATTACTACGTATGGAACAAAGTCACGACATGCATCCATAACATCCTCAGTGGGAGGAGATGGATAGAGCATTATGGAGAAATCACTATTAGAAATACAAAGAGCAGTATTTGTATCTGTAAACTCACATTTATCAAGGTAAATAATATGGTCAAGGAAAATAAAATATGTCCTAAGGGAAGAGACAGAACATTTAATACTAAGAAACAGCAAGCTCAAATGTTTTGACTAGGTTGAATTGTTTTTAAAAATCGTCTTTGCATGTACTTATTTTCCCCTAGTATTCATTTTTAGCTGATCATATTTATGATAATGAAGTTTATGAAGTTGTTATCAGCTTCTAAGGACACTTAAATGCAGCAATAAAGTACATGCTAGTTGCCACTATCTTGCTATCAGTTTATCCCAACTATTATGACCCACATGGAAAACTGATCAACAGAAAAATAGACCTTTGGCCTCAGGAAGGTAAGTTATTAAAATGACAAATGCATGAGGTACCCAAATACTCACAAAGGCATTCTTCCCTTCTTTCTCTGAATTGGAAATACTGGTTGGGATGCCACAGTTACATGTTGTATTTCTGTATGAGTAGACTAAAAACACTAGCCTGATACAAAGAATATGCCTTTCATTTATTTCAACATTTTGAAATTATTGGGCTGATTCCAATATGGCACACAAATGCCGGCTTAATTTTAGGTCATGTTTTTCTCAGTCCCTTGCCCCAAGCTCTAAATGAGGGTTTCCTTTCATTTTATGTACCTTTTCTTTATCTTAAAATAACTCTTTCTGAAATAACTACTTATTCTCCTGTTTGGTGGGGGACCCAGAGCTAAAGAACAAGGCTATGTTTTAACTTAGTAGTGTTAACTGACACTTTGCAAATAGAAACTCTATCAATCCAGAAGTATTTATTAAGCACCTTCTGTGTGCTAAACACTGTGCTGGGCTCTAGCAATACAAAAACAAGGGAAACAGTTCCTGCTTTCAAGGACCTGACATTTGAATGAGGAAGACAGCACCTTACACATAAAAATAGCCTTGGATGGGAAGGCAGGAGCAGCTCTAGGGAACAGAAAAGTTCTCCTGCTGAAAGTATCACTTGAATTGAGGCATAGGGGAAACTAAAGACTCTAGGAGTGGCAGATGAGGAGGAAAAGCATTCCAGGTATGGGGATGACCAATTCAAAGGCCCAAATTGTTAGATTTTAAAGGGACCTTGAGCTCAGTTCTCTCACTTTATGGTGGAGACAGCTAAGGCCCAAAAATATAGATGATTTATCTTTTAAGATCACATGAGAAGTTAGTGGCATAATCCAATTATCTTGACTCCTAATCCTTTGTTTTTGTTTTTTTATTATGTGAATGGGTGTGCACACTTGGTATGTCTTAAATAGAGGGATTATTATTACTAATACAATTCAGGTATTTACCAAAATACTTTGAAAATGGCTTTTGGATCCATTTCTCCTTTTTATGTTCCAAATACTGAAATTAGCTTAAGTTACTAAATATAGAGGAAGTATTTGACCATAAGGAATAATTAATTGCTCATTAACATATATCTTAATTTCTGTAAGATAGGAACTATATCATTTGTTTAATAACCTTATCCTACCTAAAGGATGATCAATAAATTGTGATTGAATAGGTAAAATAACATGTTGCACCAATTGGAACCTAGGTTATTGTCCTACCTTTGCCACTGGCCAACTGGATGGTCATGGACAGTTCAATTAAGCACCTACTATATACCAGGTACTATCTAGGTTCTAGAGATTTTAAGACAAATTAAAAGAGTACCTACCCTCAAAGAGCTTAAATTTTACTGGGCAAGTCATACCTCTTTAATTCCCAATTTCCTTAATTGACAGCCTCCCTGAACCTCATTTTCCTCATCTACTAAATGAAATGGTTAAACTAGATAACCTTGAAGTCCTTTCTAGCTCTATCATGAATCCTAAAATAGGGGAGAGTATATTAGAAGTTCTCCAAGGCTTTTCTAGCTCCAAAATTCTATTCTATTCTAGAATGAAGCCATGTTCAAGTGTTTAGAAAAAATATATTAAGAACTAGTGTTAAACTGTGTATTTGGCTAATGGCTTACCTCTTTTCTCCTTCACATTCCAATTCATCAAACATTTGGAATGAACTGTGTAATGATGCATCAAGCATTTCTTTATAATCTCTTGAAATGGTCTAGGATTTGAGTTTTTCAGCTAAGTAAATTTCTTTAGCTTTTGTTAGAATGGGATGTTTTTTGGTAAAGGCTTTCAACAGAGCCTTCTGGCTTTATCGCTGTATAATGAAACTAGCACAATGACAAATTGAGAGGGAGTTGTTGTTATTTCTAGGTAAATTATTGGAATTCTAATGTAAATGAAGTCCAAGGGGTTGTCATGGATCAGGAAGGAAAGGTGGTTCACCGTCTCTTTGGAAAGTGGCATGAAGGATTATACTGTGGCGTACCACCATCAGCAAAGTGCATATGGAGGCCAGGTGAGACCTTCCCGTGTATACTCATTTGCATAGTACCAAAAGGAGAGGTCAAGAATTCTACTTTAATAATAAAATATAATTTAATGAAATAATGTTGTCACATGACAAATATACTTCCCCTTAACTATTTTCTCTGTTAATGGAGAGGTCTAAAAATGTATCTAATCAAAAGTAAATGCAGTTACATATTTAGGTAACTTTTGTAAGTTTTTATAGTAACAACAACTCACATTTACTTGGTGTTTCCTCACAGCAAACTCTGTGAAATAGTGAGTGCAAATATGAGGGTGCCAGACTTGGAATCTGATAGAACTGTGTTTGAATCCCACCTTCAACACTTACTAGCTGTGTGATTTGGAGCAAGTCGCTTAATTTTTCTGAGCCTCAGTTTCTTCATCTGTAATAAGAGGATGATAATATCTATGTTCCCTCATAGGGTTGTTGTGGGGCTTGAAAATCAAATGAGACAGTGTCTGAAAAGTGGTCAGCAAACCTCAAAGTTCTTGATAAATGGCAGAGATTACTATTCCCATTTTATACATGGGGATAGTAAAGAGTATAGAAGTTAAGAGGCTACCCAGCTTCCTGTTGTTAACAGTTACTGATATTTACAGACCTGTTAGTTTTTTGTGAGACACTTGTATTATCTAATTTAATCCTCAGAACAATCTTGAGAGATAAGTTCTATAGCAATTATTCTTTCCGTTTTGCAGATGAGGGAACTGAGGCTTTGAGATATGAAATGAGTTATCCATGGCCATGGGGCTAGTTAATGTCAGCTATAGGGTATGGACCTGGGTCTCCCATGACTCCAGCTCTCACACATTTCCCCTACTTCGGACTGCCCTGTTTTTTTATTGTCGCTATCAATCCCTAGAAATCTTTACCATCTCTTAATTCTGATAGGTTTAGAGACATCAAAGTAGGGGTTTGGTTGGCTACTACATTGCTCCCTAGCCTATACTAGGACAATAATAATCTTGACTAGAAGCATTTAGGATGGGGGTCAACAACAGGATAAAATGTGGGTGAACCAGTTATTAGGATTTAAGAGAGGGGAGAAAGGAAGGGGGAGGGAAGGCAAATGCAGTGGAACCTAACACAGGACCAAAATGGCCCAGGAAATTATTATGTAATTGGAAGTCCTTGATACATTAGGATATAAATTATTTTCTGTTGTGAATTTAGCTACTTATTTCTGAATTCTAGCTGAAAACACCTAATAATTATACCAAAGGCTTATTTTAGTCACATGAAAAATACATTTTTCTCTATTACTGAGTGCTTCCAGTAAATCATAATAATACTTATTAACTTAGATTTGCATAACATTTTAAGTTCTTTAAGGGAGCTTTACAAATTGTTCAGCAGAAGTAGTCTTGTAAATTCCAAGCCTTTGTAGATTTTGGAAGTGATGAATTTTATAGTATATTAGTGCCCAAATAAATGGGATACAGGGGAAGGAGTGAAAGGGAAGGAGAAAGTGGGGAGAGCGAAGAAGTTTTTAGATCTAATGGAGAAATCCTAAATTTTCTTAAGCCAAACACACAAATAATAAAAATAGTAATAATTGCCCACATTTATTTAACAAGTTTACAAACTGATTTCCTCATTACACCTCTGTAAAATAGTAAAAGTACAAGGGAAAGAGACTACTAGAGCAGAATGTTGTAGGTATTGTCAGAGTTGGTCACTGTGTTGGGTGTTCCTACTTTACTTCTTTTCTTTCTTACAAGAATAGATTTAATCCAGAGGAATAGGATAGTTCGAGAAATTATACACACACACACACACACACACACCACCACCACCACCACCACCACCACCAAAAAACCCAACAAAACTTTAAAAAAAAAATCTGTTATCCCTAAATTGTAAATGAAGGTCTGACTATATCCAACTTTCCTCTCCTTCTCTAACAAAAGTTCTAAAATGGGATCGTGATCTTTTTCTAGTGGTTCTAACCTTTTCTACCTAGACAACTAGTTTTTTCCTTGTTGGTAAGAACCAAGTCCTAAATAGATATTACCTTCACTGATTCATCTGCATTTTGAAAGATGAACTGATCATTTTAAGCCAGATGGAGCTATTCTTAGCTATTCCACTGGGGGTACAGAGAAAGTTCCAGTAGATATCCACATAATTGAAGTAACAGATGACCGTGTCCATATCAGGCTTATGTTTGGTTTCCTAATCCTTGTCCATTTTCTCGGTCAAGGTGGTCACTAATAAACTCTGGTATCAAAATCCCTTCTGTTTTTAACTCTGTTACTCTTCAACCAAATACTTTCCACCCTGTTTCTTTTTCCCTGTCATTCCTGGGTGGTCTTGAATGAATATATATCTTCTTGATAAATAATGATACTCTGTCCCCTAAAAGGGATTGAAAAGTGAGATGAAAAAGTGGAAGCAGTGAATATACATTATTTAGATATAGAATGTAGCTAGAATTTTCAGGGAGTTTGGCTATGAAAAGGAGGAGAGACATTAGATCATACTTGAGTGGATGACAAGGTCAAATGAAGGTTAGGGAAGATATGAGCACGTTAGATTGGAAATTAGAAAGAGGATAATTGAAGAGACAGCCTCTAACAGAAGATGGGAAGGAATGATATCAAGAGGAAAAATAGAAGAGTTTGGCCTTGGAAGGACACAGACCATCTTTTCCTCTCACACTGGAACAGATGATTAGAGTAGATGATACTGTTGAAGGGTTTTGAGATATAGAGAAGAGAAGAAAAGAGACCTTACCATGAATGGCCTCAGTCTTTTGTTTGTTTTTTTGTATAGTATGAGGAAAATAAGGCTATTCTAGAAGGGAGTGGTGTAGGTGATTTGAGTCAAGAAAAGATCTGAAACATTCTGTGGAGAGTATGACAAGGAGTGAACCGGGGAAGAATAAAAAGGTTGCTGTGCTCCTCAGCTGGAAATAAGTAATAAAACTATAGTGGTAGTCCTAGTGAGCACAGCTGTGTGACTTCCACTGGCAGGCAGCATGCAGTTAGAGAAGGCATTCTCTTATTGATTATATAGCAATCAAATTAATAATTTACTGAAAGATTTTACCCAGTAAACTTCAGAATAGGTTTTTTTCTTCCTTCCTCACCCTAAGCTTCCATTGATTGACATTTCTAGCATGTGATCAAAGTTAATTTAGCTTCATGCAAATTTGCTCCTTTTTGTGGTTTAATTTTTAAAATATGACTAAAATATATGTTACTCTAAAACCTTTATCATATATTTTGGTTTTATAAAATGAGAGGTGGTAGAACATAGTTGATAGAGTGCTAGACTTAGAATTAACAATGCTCATGTCTCATTCACTTATTTTTGGCATAATCATTGGAAGGAAGGAAGAAAACAAGTGTTTATTAAGTGTCAACTATGTGCTAGGGATTATGCTAGGCACTTTGCAAATATTTTATCATTTAACCCTCACAGTAACTCTGGGAGATACATGTTATTGTGTGCCAGTTTTACAGTTATGGAAACTGAGGCAGACAGGTTAAATGACTTGCTCAAGATCACACAACTATTAAGTGTATGAGGCTGGATTTGAATTTCCATCTTCTTGACTCTAGGTGCAGTGTTCTAATCACCTAACTGTGTAGGGGAAGTCACTTAATCTCCCAAAGTCTCAGTTTCCCATCTATAAAATGGAAATAATGCTAGCACATACCCCACAGGGTTGTGGTGAGAATCAAATGAGATAATACATATAAAATGCTTCATAATCCTTCAGGAACTATATAAATTTAAGCTCTTATGATAAAAGGTATTTGCATTTCAAGAATGCAGCAAAAATCATGCTGCTCTAATTGACACTCAGTGCTAATTTACCCTAAGTCATTTCATCTCTAGTAATAGATAGTTCTGTTACATTTAATTACTATAAACAGCTTCATTATTCTTGTAGAATCTGAATAACTCAATTGTATAGTGCTGATATCAAGTACCAGTAAAAAAAAATAATGAATCTGTGTTTGTTACTTATTTTGTCACAGTGGATCCATAACTTTATGGGTTTGCTTACCCATTTGAGTAATTTTGAAATTGACAGTGGAGTTTCCCAAGAGTCATTAGTAAGCTTTACGTTTCCTGTTGGTAAAGTAGTTAGTGGTTAAAGTGTCAACACAAAGCTATTACAAATTGCCATGTTTTTTGCTTCTCCATTACACTGCCAAGCAAGCCTTTTTTTTATAAAGCTAATTATGTTGGCATTTTTTTTTGTAAACACATGGAATTTTAAAAGAAACATGATGAAATTGTTTAGCCAGTGTGTTCTAAAATGGTATATGAGGAAATCTAGATTTTTGTCAGTCTACTAATAATTGATTTAAAAAATTTTAACTTTGTGATAATCACTATGAAAAATAAGAGTTCCCTGAGTGGATTTTAAGAAACTCACAGTCTCACATGTCTTAACTGAATTAATCGCTAAGCTTAGTGTCCAGAATAAGGTCTGTCAAGTCAAGTTAACAAGCATTTATTAAGCACATGCAACATATTAGCCCCTGTGTCTAACTACTGGGAATACAAAGTCAAAAAGAGTTCCTGCCCTCAAGGAGCTCAGTCCAATGGGGGAAACAATATGCAAACAACCAAGTCCATACAAGATATAGAGATAATCAAATCAGGAAAGCCCTAACATTGAAGGGGACTCACATTTAACCTGGATTAGACTACACTGGAGTTTGGTGTTTAGTTCTGAGTACCACATTTCTTTCTTTTTTTTTTCCAACATTCACTTGTATAAGATTTTGAGTTTTAAATTTTCTCCCCCTCCCTCCTCATCAAACTTCCCAAGACAGTGTGCAATCTGATATAGGCTCTACATATACATCCATATTAAATATATTTTCACATTAGTCATGCTATGAAGAAGAATTAGAACCAAGGGGAGGAACCACAAGAAAGAAGGAACAAAACAAAACAAAAATAACTGAAAAAGAGAGCAAATAGTATGCTTTTATCTGCATTCAGACTCCACAGTTCTTTCTCTGAATGTAGATAGCATTTTCCATCATGAGTCTTTTGGAGTTGTCTTAGCTCCTTGTATTGCTGAGAAGAGCTAAGTCTATCAAAGTTAAGTCATCACACAATGTGTATGTTACTATGTACAATGTTCTGCTGGTTCTGCTCACTTCACTCAGCATCAGTTCGTGCAAGTCTTTCCAAGTTTTTCTGAAGTCTGTCTGCTCATCATTTCTTTTTTTCTAATTAATTTATTCTTAGTTTTCAACAATCACTTCCATAAGGTTTTGAGTTTTAAATTTTCTCCCTCCCCCTCTGCCTCCCCAAGACAGCGTGCAATCTGATATAGGCTCTACATGTACATTCCTATTAAATATATTTTCACATTAGTCACGTTGTAAAGAAAAATTAGAACCAATAGAAAGAACCACAAAAAAGAAGGAACAAAACAAAACAGAAGAAAAAAAAGAGCAAATAGTGTGTTTCAATCTGCATTCAAACTCCATAGTTCTTTCTCTGGATGTGGATAGCATTTTCCATCATGAGTCTTTTGGAGATGTCTTAGATCCTTGCATTGCTGAGAAGGGCTGAGTCTATCAAACTTAGTCATCTCACAATGTGGCTGTTACTGTGTTCAACATTCTCCTGGTTCTGCTCACTTCACTCAACATCAGTCCATACAATTATTTCCAGGTTTTTCTGAAGTCTGCCTGTTCATCATTTCTTATAGCATAATAATATTCCATTACATTCATATGCCACAACTTCTTTAGCCTTTCCCCAATTGATGGGCATCTCCTCAATTTCCAATTCTTGGCCAGCACAGAAAGAGCTGCAATAAATATTTTTGTACATGTGGGTCCTTTTCCCATTTTTATGATCTCTTTGGGATACAGCCCTAGAAGTGCTATTGCTGGGTCAAAGGGTATGCACATTTTTGTAGCCATTTGCACATAGTTCCAAACTGCTCTCCAGAATGGCTGGATCATTTCACAACTCCATCAACAATGCATTAGTGTTCCAATTTTTCCACATCTTCAACATTTATCATTTTCTTGTTTTGTCATGTTAGCCAATCTGATAGGTGTGATGTGGTACTGGGTACCATATTTTAGGAAGGACATTGATGAACTGGAGTTTATCCTAAGCAATACTAATAAAATAGTGAGGGGACTGAAAATTATTTTATATAAGGATTAGTTGAAGGTAGGGGATATTTGACCTGGAGAAGGAAAGATTTAGGAAGACCATGATAGCTGAATTTAATTATTTGAAAAGCTCCCCTGTGAAAGAGGAATTCAGCATATTCCACTTGCTTCCAAAGAACAGAAGAAGGAACAAAGGATAGAAGTTATAGAGACACATATTTAGTCTCTATGTATGGAAAAATTAATGGTATAGAAATGAAATTGGCTGAGTTGGGGTGCTAGTGGGACTCCAAACACTGGAGGTCTTCAGAGGCTGCTTATCCCTTATTGAGGAAGTTCAAACATAGGATCCAGTCTCTTCCAACTCAGTGATGTCAATCTAATATGTTCATGGTTATATGAAGAGGCCACGTTAGTCAGTAGCAACTGTTTACAGTAATGAATCACATGGGCACCTTAATTTTTTTTGTTTGAGTTTTATTCCTTAATGTATGTCAGCAATATTTTATTTTATTTTATTTCTTTCAGGTTCCATGCCAACTAATTATGAACTCTACTATGGCTTTACAAGGTTTGCTATTGAACTCAATGAATTAGATCCTGTCCTGAAAGAGCTTCTTCCTCCAACAGATGCTCGATTCCGGCCTGATCAAAGGTAAGAGTTTAAAAATTTTTAAATGCATTGCAGGATCTCCAGAGGCTACCAAACCATTCTCTCCCCTTGACTGATTTCAGCAAATGTGTTTAAATACTTCCTTATATGCAAGACAGTACGTAAACTAATCAAAACAGAATGTTCTCTGTTGTAATGTACTAAATTTCTGGTTTATCTAACTTGCAAAAATATCCACCGGAGCTTCCTTGCTTCTCTTATTTTGTTTGTTTTTGTATTTTTTTAATCATAAGAAAAAATAAACAAAGAGAGAAGTACAGTAAAATGGAAAGGACCTGGAATTTGGAGTGACAGAATCAGAGAAAGGACATCAAATCTAAATCCATCAAAAGTTCCCCTCTATCACGTGCCTGATAAATAGTCACTCAGCCTTTCCTAAAGACCTAACATGAGGGAGAAGCCAGGAACTCTGCAGGCATTTCATTGCACTTTGGGATGGTGCTAATTGTTCTTCTGCCTTTAGCAGAACAACAGTATTCCACCTCTAAATACTTGAAGGTGGTTCCTTTCTCCAAATTATACATGCCTAGTTTCCATAACTAATGTCCATATGAAGTGACCTCAGGGCTCTTCTGTGTGTTGATTGCCTTCCTCTGAGTTACACTCCAATTTAACAATGTCCTTCATACAACGTAGTACCCAAGACTAAAGAGAGTACTGCAGAAGCAGCCTGATCAGGGCATAGTAGTGCAGGACAGTCACCTCTGCTATCCTAATCAGTCTTAATACAGCCTAAGATCATGTTTGCACTTTTGACTGCTATCCCACGCTGACTCATATCAAGCTTGCAATCACTAAGATCATCAGATCTTTTTTCTGTTGAGTCATTGGTTGATTAAACCCTCCCCCCTTATAGTATCCTTGTGAAGTTGAGGTTTTTGAACCCAAATCTAAGAGTTGATTAAATATTAAATATTATCTTGTTAGATTCAGTTCAGTGGTCTAGCTCGTCAGGATCTTTTTGGATGCTGACTCTGTCATCCAGTGATTAACTATCCCTCCCAGCTTTGTGTCTTCTGTAAATTTGGTAAGCATGGCATCTATTCCTTTATCCAAGTCACTGATTCATATGTGCAGCAGCCTAGTACCAAGGATAGATCCGTGTGCTACTCCACTAGGAATTGACATCCCAGTTCACTAATTCAATCAGTTCTGCATCCACCAAACTGTATTATGGTCTACTTTATGTATTTCCAACTTATCCTTAAGAAAAACATCAGAAACTCTGTCAAATGCTTTGCTAAACTTTAGGTAAACTATATCTACACCATCCCCTTATCTACCAATCTAGTAACTTTGTTTAAAAAAGGGAAAGGGGGGAATTACATCATTCTAACATAACCTGTTCTTGATGAAGCCAAGAATTGAGTAACTCCTTATGATCACTGCTTCCTTTTCTATATGTTCACTAACCATCTTTTCAATACTATGTTAGAGAATTTTACTATGAACTGAAGGCAAGCTTACTGTCCAATAATTTGTAGGTTCTCTTCCTCCTTCCCCTCCTCCTCTTCTTTCTGTTTTGAAAATCATGACCTTGCCCTTCCCCAATTCTTCAGCACCTCTTTCATTTTTCATCATATTTCCATTATTATTCACAGTGGCTCACACATTATATCTAAAGATTCTGTAGATTCTAGGTTGGGGTTCATCCGGGCCTGATGACTTGAACTCTTCAAAGATAAACACCCTTTTCCAGCCTCAGACACATACTAGCTGGGTAACTCTGGGCAAGCCACTTAACCCACTGTTTGCCTCAGTTTCCTTATCAGTAAAATAGGGGTAATAATAGTACCTACCTCCCTCCCTGGGTTGTTGTAAGAATCAAATGAGATAACAATCAAAAAGTGCTTAGCATAGTACCTGGCAGATAGTAAGTGCTATATAAATGATAGCTATTATTATCGCCATACTTATCTTGGTTATCAAATTCCCTATTAGCTGCTTTTCTTTAGTCCCTTCTAGTCCAAATGACATTCTCCTTGGTAGAAAAATGGAAGCAAAATAAAGTTAATCGGCTCTGCCTGTCCTCCTATAGTCACATTCATATTACTCAAATGAGCAGTACTACTTATCCCTTATTAATCATTCTCTTTTTACCAATATAGCTTTAAAAAAAAAAAAAAGACCAAACCCCTTCTGTGGTCATTAGCTTTTATCATGACCTCAGTTAATTGTAAGTTTTAATACTCCAGCCACTATCCTTTGAGGACTGTACCAGTTTTATTCTCTACTACCTGCCCTTCTGTCCATTTTCTATACATGTATTTTTAATATCAAAGTTGAGTGATGAGTTCCCTGGGCAGCCACATCAATATCTTTAAACAGTTTGGTGGCCCGGTGGACAGAATGGTGGGCCTGGAGTCACAAAAGCCATGAGTTCAAATCCAACCCCAGACACTAATTAGCTGTGTGACCCTTGGCCAGTCATTTATATGCTTGTTTTCTTCCTACCTTTCTTTTCTTCCTCATGAAAATTGTTTCTTCAGAATATCATTTGTAAGAGCTTCTCATTCATCCACGTCTAATTTCCCCTTTAGAGTCTTAGCACATGTGATCCTACGATCCTTTCTCTGAACCCTTTGAAATCTATTCTCCCCTAATCTAGTGAGTGTTAATCTTTTCCCTGCTTCCCTCTCCTTCTCTGTCTCAAATTTGAAGATATTCAAGTCACTTCCTCATTAAGTTCCCATCATTTCCACCTCTGTTGCCATTTCTTCCTTGTCACTGAGAACTAGCTCTAAAACAGAAAGTCCTCCCTCTCAATAGTGTCTTCATTACTTGAAGGATGAAATTGTTATCAAGTCAGTTCAAGAAATAATTAACTGTTTTACTTTTTGTAGAGAAAGTGCTCTGACTAACCAAAGTCTCCCTTCTCCACTATATCATTTTTGTTCTTGAGTCATTTTTCAGTCATGTCTGACTCTTCAGGACCCATTTGGGATTTTCTTGGCAGAGATACTGAATGGTTTGCCATTTCCTTCTCCAGCTCATTTTGCAGATGAAGAACTGAGGCAAACAGGGTTAAGTGACTTGTCCAACATCACACAGCTATTGTCTGAGGCTGAGTTTGAACTCAGGAAGAGTTTCTATCCACTGTACAGCCTAGCTACCCTTACATATTTGTTATTTAGTCATTTTTCAGTCATATTCAACTCTTTGAGAACCCTTTTGGGGCTTTGTTGGCAAAGACACTGGAGTGATTTGTCATTTCCTTCTCCAGCTCATTTTACAGATGAGGAAACTGTGGCAAACAGCATTAAGTGACTTGCCATAGGTCACATAGCTACCATATCATGCATCCATGCAATGCTTATAATTTATTTTCCAAATGCCTCATTTATGTTCTTGCTCCTCCCCCAGTGATCAGAAGTGTATACACTGCTGACAATACTGCTTGTTTTTGCTTCTATTCATCTTTGCTCAAATGTTCATGCCCAAATGTTCTCCACCATGATTACCATCTTTTTTTTTTCTGTATTTCCTCACATGAATATATCTCAATACCTATGCTACTCTGCACCTCTTTTATCTATGCCATTCCTTTTGAGTAAAAGTGTATCCTTCCCCAGGCATGTTCCTCATCATGAGTCTCAGACCATCGTATCTCAGTGATCCCTTTAATTTCAAATTTGCCTCTTTGTGTTAGGCTTTCTCCTTCCCCTTACTTGTCACCTATGTTTTGTGCACCTGTATATAGATTCTTGAAGCAATGGTTTCACTACTTGCTTGTTTCTTCACTCATGTGAATTTTTGGGTATGCCATGGCTATTGTCCCTATTTTACAGCTAACTCTTTATAGCTTAGTGGCTATAAAAAGGCAATTTTCTTCCTCCCCATTCTCTTTTGATGTAAACCCATTTAATTGGATTTTCAAGACTCCTGGAAAATGCATTTGCAACAGCTTGGGTTGGTGCCATCCCTAGTCAGGAGCCTGTCATTCTGATATGTGAAGCTCTAGTACAGAAATCTCAATCCCATCAACAGACACCATCTTTACAGCTCTACTCAAATCTTCCTTTCTTTTCTGAAGAACTTGCCTTCAATCAGCTGCAGCAATTAAACCACTGGGTGCCACTAATGTCTTTGTTTTCTTGGAGGAGGTTTCATAATACTTGACCATTCCTTCTAGATTCCTTCAGGCAAGGTCATTTGCTGAATTAATTGCTTCCCTAAGCCTGATATCAACATTTATCAGTAACTTCCTTTACAAAATACCATATTATGTACTTATCCTTTGTCCTCATTTTTGACATTTTAACATCTCCATTAGAAGTTTTATTCATTTTCTCAATTTTGTGCCTGTATTTTATTTCATTTATTCATATATTTATGAATATATTCCTCATTTATTCATATATACTTTGCCTTATTTTGCCCAACATTCTGTAATTTAAAAAATTCTCTCATCGAGACTTTTTATCACATTTCCTGATACCCTTTCTTTTTCACAGGACTTACTCTTTTTCCATATATTCTGAATGGAGGAAAAAGTGTCCCAGCTTCTATCAATTCTTTTTTTTTTTCACATAAGTGTAATTCAGAATAAAAGGGTTGCAATAGGATTTCTTTACAATGATAACCTTAAACCTCTATCAATGGGTAGAAGATTGTCATCCTTTTTTTTTAAATCACCAATTCTATGTTGTTCCTTATTAATCCACTATAGTGTCTAAAAACCTTTGGCAGTCATCCAAATCTTCACTTTGTCACGGAAATATCTCCTGATGCACTTTAAGCTCATTTCCTCTTAGTCAGGCCTCAGTGGAGATGGTGAACAGCTGGCTATCTTGCCCTATAATGGCACTTGTGGATGCACAGCACAACCTCATGTATAACAAGTGCACTTTGATAGAACAAAGGGAAGACTGCCTTTTGACTTTGTATCCTCCAAAAATATTCACATGAGATCATTTTTTAAAAACATTTCTTAACAGAGTTATTTTTTCTTTATTTTTTTCCATTAGGCAAGCTAAATTTCCCACCTTTTTTTAAGTTCTAGAATCCGAAAACAGCCTGTTAAAGGCCAAATCATTCCTGATTCCTACCCTTAATGTGATTAAGGTGGATTTTGCATTTCATAGTAGAAGTGTTCCTGGAAAATTATGGGAAAGTCCAATAGCGAGAAGGCAAATCATCTGATGCCATGACCTTCAGATAATTAGCCAAACTTATTTTACTTTGAGATAATTTATGTTTATTTCTAATTAACTTTTAATTGGCTTTAGGGCTTTTTTTTCCCTCACTTCCATTAAATTGATCCAAAAACAATTACAAGTGCACAGGGAAACTGGTTATCCAAAGAAACATTGCAGTGATTATTTTTGTGAAGCAAGACTATATTTGTAGTATAAATAATTGTCTACTAATTTATCTTGTTTAGATTTTTATGTGGGTGAAATGACCCTACTTAATTATTGGAGGAGGGGAAGAATAGATTGATAATTTAATTACTCATTTACTAGTTAAGAAAGATTATAGGATGATGTATTTAGAGTTATATGGGACTTCAGGTCATCTAGTCCAACCACCCCAAGGTCACACAGGTAGTGTCAAAGGTAGGATTTGAACCCAGATCCTCCAACACCAAATTTAATCTTCATTTTACTCTTCTACATTACTCTTTCCTGGTCTCAGGTAGAACAAGGATAGAGAAGGAAAAATTTTAGTGGGTAGGAGGAAGACTCATCATCCTGAGTTCAAATCTGGCTTCAGACACAGTTGTGTGACCCTGGGCAAGTCACTTAACCCTGTTTGCCTCTGTTCTTTATCTATAAAATAAGATGGAGAAGGATATGGCAAACCACTCCAGTATCTTTACCAAGAACACCCCAAATGGGGTCATGAAGAGTCAGACACAACTGAAAAATGACTGAACAACAATAACAAAGGGTATGATAATAAATTAAAATACTGCAATGTTTTCTACTCGTAGTAACCAGGATATCTACTTTTGTGGTATGGATTAAATTATTTTACTCCTACCTAATGTGATATATCTTCTGTAAGCTGAACTATTCTGTGCTTAGGTTTTTGGAGGAAGGAAATTTAGAAGCAGCAGCTGCTGAGAAGCAAAGAGTAGAAGAGCTCCAAAGATCCAGAAGGCGATACATGGAAGAAAATCACCTGGAACATATACCAAAATTTTTTAAGTAAGTCAGTCCATTTCTATAACTAGCTTCTTATATTTTCTTATATTTTTCTTATATTTTTATATCTTCTTATATTTTTAAGGGGAAAAAAGTGTTATCATCAAAGATAACTGCTAGTGAATAAAAATAAGAACACTATGGTAATAGGAGAATGTAAAGAGGCAAAGGAATGGATTCCATTAAGAGAGTGAATGTTGCTTTCTGCTCAGGAAGCATGGAGGAAGAAGATTTCATGAATACTTTGGGCTCACTAATCCTGAAAAAGCCAGTCTTATTCTGTCCTCCTTCTTTACTCTGCCTATGGAAGATGCTGATGTCTTCCTTGCAAAGCCAAGGAAAATGAGATGTTACCAGGACGTCTTGTTTAGTGATCAGAGATTCTGTAGAGAAAGTATCACCCTTCACCCATTCTTGCCAAGAAATTTGTAACAAGAGAAAGGCACTTGATATTTGAATTATGAATATGTAGCCCATTTCACTTTTAGAACCATTCAGAAGTGGAATGGGCTGCCTACTAGGCAGGGGATTTCCCCTATATTGGAGGTCTTCAAGGAAAGGCTGAATGATCACTTGTCTTTGCTTATAATGGGTTTTCTTGTTCATGTGACAATTGGACTAGATGGCCCTTTGAATTCCAATGTTAATGGATTTTGTGAATACCTGTCTTTGAAATCCATTGCGTTGTGATGCCAATGATTATTAAACAATGATAGGATGATCATTACTACTAGGCTTCTCTGTTTGTCACATAAATTGACAATTGTTATATGTCCTTTTCAAATCACTGTAGATACAGTAATTAATCTGAAGGGTCAAAGACCTTGCCTCACACTACACCATGTAGACATTAGAGCTGTTATTTCATGGCTATTTGCTTTAAAACATCTCAACCTCTAATGGATGTGTTCAAAGTTCCTCATTCTTTATAGATGTGTTTTTCAATTACAATAATAATAATACTAACCATTTATATTTGCATAAAAGTCTTTTTGCTAAAGCCTTTTTCTCACCTACATCCCCTGATGTAGTTGATATGACTGTTCTCCTGCCTGGTATTCAAATGAGAAAACTGAGATTCAAGAAATTAAGTGATTTGAATAAGATTACACTACTCCTACATGGGAGATCTGGGATTCACATTTAGGTCCTCTGATGTCATGACCAGCTCTCTTACCCCTCAGTTTCCTTATCAGCAAAGTGAGGGAATTGGGTTCAGTGCACTCTAACATCCTTCTAGTTCTAAATAAATAATAATTTTATTCTAATTTTAAATTCTGTGATCCTCTTTATTTGAAATATTCAATAACTAAAGAAAAACATTTGACAACAGTGCCTACCACATGGTAGACACTTAAAAATGTTGGCTGGTTGATTGTGTTATCAGTATTAGGAAGTTTTTAAAAACTCTCTTTGAGGCATTAGATACCAAATCAAATTTAAATCACATTTTCCTTTTATTTTGATTCCATTCTTATTAGACTTAAACTGATACTCCCTCCCCACTACTCCTTTCTCTGAACCTCTTTTGCTTCAGAATATAGAAGAGAATTAGTGAGTGAGGATGTCAAAAACCCACCTTAACCAATTGACCACTCATCTAGACTAAAAGCAGTTATTGTTTGTCCTATTTTTCTTTCACATTATGTCATCACATCCTTTACAATGATTTTCAAATCTCTGGAATTGAAATATACCCAGAAGGACAATGATTGGATGTGGTTTTTTAAATCAAAACATAATTTACAAGGAAGACCTAAGTTCAAATCAGGCCTCGGACACTTGACACTTACTAGCTGTGTGACCCTGAGCAAGTCACTTAACCCCGATTGCCTACCAAAAAACATGTGTGTGTGTGTGTGTGTGTCTGTGTGTGTCTGTGTGCATGTGTAATTATTTTCATAATTCGTAGGCCTCTTTGAATTCCCATATGTACTGTAAAAAAATTACCTAAGTGAGGAAAAAAAAGAATTTTATCTCCTTTTTTTACTTAGATTTGGTTTTTCAGTATGCTCATCTTTGCCTAAAGTTTTTCAGTATGGTCATCTTTGCCTAAAATCCTCAGCAAGAATTTGATCTTCAAATGTACATGAAAAATCATAGTCTTTTCCTGCCTAGGCCTCCCCTTAGCACTCCTTCCCTGTTTATTGGTAACTGGACTGAGTCTGAGGATGAGTTCCCAGCTGGTTTCGTTTTACTCCGTTACCGCATGCATAACTTAAAAATCCTGACAGCATGAAGTCCCTTCTGTTCTGTACAGCCTTCCCTTTAAAGCTAAGTCTTTTAAATTTCGGGGAGTATGTTTTCCTTTCTTCTCATCAGGAAAAACTCGGGAGTAAGATCATGAGCTCAGAAATAACCTCTTTCCCTTCTTCCTTATCTCGCCCCTCTCCCCACCCCCATGCCCCACGCCAAAAAAGAAAGATGTTGTAAAGAGGATAAAATCTCAGTTTAAATGCCTTTCATTTTAAATTGTACTTAATAGGTTGGCAACTTTGGGCAGATCTCATTGCCTCTCTGGGCATTGTTGGCCTCATCTATAAAATGTTACCTTCTTACTAGATGGTCTCCAACTTTTCTTGCTTGTTTTTCCACACCCACGACTTTCATTTCCCAACTCAGGGCATTTTCCCTGGCTGTCACCCATACCTGAAATGCTCTCTTTCCTTATCTCCATCACCTCATTTTCCTGGCTTCCTTTAAGTCCCAGCTAAAACCTTACCTTATATAAGAACCAACTCCCAATCTTCCTTAATTCTGGTGCCTTCACTCTAAGACTATCCCGTTTCCCCTGTATGTATCATGTCTATCTCTCCCATTGGACTGTAAGCTCCTTGAGAGCAGGACCTGTTTTTTTAAACCTTTTTTTTTTATCCCCAAGGCTTCGCACAGTGTCTAACACATAACAGAAGTTTAATAAATTATTGAGCTTATTGACTTGTCTTCCCTTTCAGCTTCAGTACTCCTGTGATTTTAAAAAATATTTTCAGATTCAGCTGGATCATAAATTCAATCTGTCTTTGCCTGCTCCAGATTAGCCTAAAGTAGTGAGGAAGAGTAGTAATTCATATAGTACAGAAGGCCCTAACATATTTGTGGAATTTTGATAATACTCATATCCTGTGGTTTTAAAAGACTTCAAGGAAGTCCACCTGCACATCAGATGGACCCTGTGGCAAATTTATGGGAGGTCGTGAACCAAAGTAGAATAAGATCACCAGGCATGGTTAGTCTGCAATCTGCATCATTGGAAGGAATGGCCATATTGATGAGATCATAAACCATTAGCATATCGGAGTTATATTGGGACCCAGCTGGAGTCCAACGGAAAAATGGATTTTAAAAATCTACTTTGAAGTATTAGCCAGATGGTTTCCCACATTAATTATTTTTCCTTTAACATGGCTATGAGGCCAGCTACAGTGGGGATATGCTAATACATCTGAATCAGTAGTGGCCGTAACTTTGCAAAGTATAATTTGCCAAGACTTGCTCTAACTGCCCAAGCTGTGTAAGGTAACATATAGCCAATAACATCATTTTTAGTAAGTTTCATGGCGACAAAAGAGAATCAAGGTCTGTTTGACTGTCTTGCAGCATGTTAGGCACTTAAAAAATGTTTGGAATTGAGTGTCATTGAATCTGATATGAATTTTTTTTTATGTTTTCACAGAAAAGTCATTGATGCCAATCAAAGAGAAGCCTGGGTTTCTAATGACACCTACTGGGAGCTTCGAAAGGACCCTGGCTTTAGCAAAGTAGAAAGCCCTGTACTCTGGTAACCCAAGACTGTAGATCCGAGTACACATATCACACTCTGAATGAATAAATAACTATGCACAATGATGTTTCTTATAGCTAAGCGTGGTTTGTGGGTCTACAGAAAACTTACCATTTGCTTTTCTATTCATCTTTATAATGGACTTTCAAAAGTGCATTAGACCAGGCCCCTGACCACTTTGGGATCCTTTCTGTTTTGCTGCAGCCATACTCCTTAAAACGTCCTCACCCTTGAAACGCAGAATAAAGGGAGCAGATTAAAGTAATCCAAAGTCTGAAGAATTTGTAAAGAAAAAAAAAACTGTACCTGGTGCTTAAAGCCAACCTCGAGAGTTCAAAATAATATGTATAAATGTATAATGAATTTGGTCATTTGCTTGGAAGAGCCATGATTATATACTCTAAACTCCCGGGTCACAGCTGCGGGTCAGTTCAGGCTTGACGTTTGTCCTTTGATGTGACACGCTTGTGCTGGCCTTGTTAAACAACAATGACAACAACAACAACACAACATGATGCTTTGGGAAACCTGTTCCATCCATACGCCATTGTTCATGCCTTAAGAAATGTGAAGATGTAAAATAAATCATTTTAAAATGTGTGCTCTTAGGCTGGTGTGAAGAACAGATCTTTTTGAAGCATGATATGATTCCCATGCTGGGGGTCAAAGCAGTCCCATACAGGAGCATAAACGGGTGATCACATGGCAAGGAGAAGCTGCACAGTTGGCTTTGATGAGATGGATGCTAGGGTTGGGATCCATCAGAAGAGAAATCGAAGGCTGCATCCAGGTTGCTAGTTAAGAAGTTCCTATCCTAAAATACCCTTCACTGAGAAATAATCCCTGCTGGTTTTGAAATCACAGTGAGCCCATTTAGTGGACAAAATCTAATTTGCTTACTTTGCATCAGTGTTAAGAAACTTTTGAAGGAGAACCTGAAGGACATGAAGAGCCCTTCAGGGCTCGATAGTACTATAATCTTAACCGTCATTTTTATGTAAGGCACAGAGGAGATTTAATTACATAGATTTGGAGCTGGGATTTGTCATCATATTGCTTGCCAACCTCCTGACTCCCTCACCCAGGATCCCTAGATAATTTTCAGTAGGGACAGGAAGAGGAACACTACCTATTAGCATTAATAACTGCTTATTTGTGTTGTCTAAATGAGTCCTACGCAAAACTGTGTTTTATGTTTTCCATTAAGTGATTCTGAGTTTTTTCAGGGAAGAAACAAGATTTTTGTTGGTAGGTGGCCATTTATCAAGCACTTAAGGTTTTGGTTTGGATTTTTTTCAGCAATGGAAGAAGAATGGATGAGGAATTCATCGCTTACCCCAAAAGTGGCCATACCTGTATTTTGCATAATTTAAGGCCTGTTTTTCCACTACCACATGGGAGGGTTATACAGGCAACTTGCATCAGTATTCACTATTTGTTTTGCATGTAAATGGCAAAATTAACACCTGTATGAAGATCTCAAGAGATTTTCATACAGAATGCCTACATAGACACTCATGTATTTATTCTTAGTTAGAGCCCTATAACTGGGCTGTACCTGTTATGTTAAACTGATAACAAGATCATTGAAATTTTACTTGTTTAATCACTCATAGTGATTCTAGTATTTATCACCCCCAACAAAAAAGCCAAGGCTTAAAGTAAAAATGTATATTCCATTCTTTAGATAACACCTGTATCAGGAGTAAAAAGAGAAAATTCTAATGAAAGCTTGGGTAAAAGGGATAGAATCTTTCATAGGCTAACCAGTTTAGTCAATAAGACAGGGCACATATACAGGCTTCCTGTTTAATCTGATAGGAATGCAAATAGAAGGAGTAAAACTTTGTATTGGTTTGCATAAGGGATGCAGACCATATTAAATTAGTAAATAATCAGATTTTTGGCATCTCCTTTAAACCACACGAATTTGTCTCCTTCCTACTTTTCCAGTTGTCCCCATTCCACATCTGTGGGTGGTTCCACCCACGGGATTATATGCCTTCTTCCATGCTCAGCCCACTCCTCTGTCTGTCCATACAGCTTCCTAAGGCGTAAGCTTTTAGAAGAATCCTCTTGACCTCTTCTCATGAAAACAGCTGCTGATCTGCTGTAATTAGTGTTTGAAGCTTCTCTCTCCTGCCCTTAAGAGTACTTCCTTGAAGTATCTCATAACACAGTCCAAACATAGGGGAAGTATCGTACGAGGTAAGGGACTATTAAGGGCACAGTTGTAGAAAAGTAACGTAGGGGATTGCTTGAGGAGCAGAGAGGCAGTTTGAGAAGGCTAAGAAAGATAAATAGAAGCTTGCCATATTGTAAATGAGTCAGAAAGAATAACACTTCTACTGAGGGTGTGGATTCTAAGATGGGTAAAAGAGATCATTTGTTAGGAAGTAAGTTTTGATTTCACATCAGGCAGAAGCTAACCTGATGCTCCCAATTGAAACTGAGGATATGAGGAATATGTATATGTATGTATACATACATATATATATATATAATATATATATATATATACATACACACACACACACACACACGTATAATCAAGTTATTTAACATCTCAATGCCCCAGACAATTGTCTAAGATAATTTACAGTTTGTGTCAGTGGAGGGAGTTTCCATATTGAATATTCTACACACTGATGAAATCGCAGGTCTAGATGCTCCCTCATGCCCTTAAAAAAAAAGTCACCCAAAAACCTATATTTCTTAATCTTTTGAGGTTTAGACCTGATCAGACTATCATTTGAAAATGTTCAACAAAGTGTTTAGAAAACATTACACTGAATACTATAAATGCTAGAATTGGTGTGTGCATTTCACTTCCCAGTGGTTCATTGTTCATATATTATTTGTGCAGTGCTTAAGTGGTTGTGAAATTTATTATCTTTAGATTTTTTTTTTATGGAGTGGTTTAACTGAGACTATATCTAACAGCAGAAATGAAGAGCAATATCAGGTAGTTGTTTTGATAAAAACCTAAATTGGTTTTTGGAGTCTTTAACACTCTGTATGCCTATTTTGTTATTAAGACCTCTGTCCACAAAAGACTTTACCAATAATGTTGTGTTTTCCCAAAGATTTGTTCACCACCTCTCCTTTCATTATTTCTAGCCATTAAGGAGAGTAACAACAAATGATTATGACTCTGTAGCCATGGCTGTGGCTGTGGATGTGCAAAATGGGTCAGTGGTATAGCCCAGCAAGGAGGCAGCAGCAGAAACAAATTTATTACTGCCTAGCATGTGAAGTTGTTCTCTAATAATCCAGTTCTTTTAAATATGACATTTTTTCATTAAAAGGAATTTATTTCCATGGGTTGAAAAATATATTCCTCATTATAATTTCCATAACAATTATGAATAAGTGAAAGAAAAGTCATTATTTAAAATTTACAGTGTTGCAATGCATTGGGCATACAAATAGGAAAGTAAGATAGTCTCTGATCACAAGGAGCTCACATCCTATTAGAGATAAACAACACACAGAGGAGGGCAAATGGAAAAGCCCAGTGATCCTTAGTACAGTGGCGAGGCAAATGCTAATGCATCTTCTTTAATCAAACTCTGATTTTTTATAAACATAATAATTTAAAATAGCACTCTAGAATTATATGTGCTCTTAACTATAAAGAGCTTTCTCTCCCCAAACCCATTAACCATCACTTAATCTGTCTTCAAACCTATCATTGAGAGTTGTTTTATCTCTCCTATTCTCCTATTAAAAATGAATTTTTCAGTCCTAACCAAGAAACCTTTGGTCTAAAGAGTAATTATCCATTTCTTGAATTATCAATGTCTTGCTCATCATTCTTCTAACTTCTTCCTGTCTCTTAGATATTTCACTAAATTGTTAGCTCCTCCACCAAGAAATGGTTAGGAGAAATCAAGACAAAAACTAACATAAATCTCTTTTGCTAGCTAAAAGGCAGTTGATGTGGCCATCACTATATGGCTTGTAATTGTCCGCTCTTTGCCGGTCCCCTGCCTTCACAGATAACGATCACAAATGATAATGGGGAGAGTGCTCAGCACAAACTAGAGTTTCAAATAAAAAGTGGATTATTAAGGTAGTCCAGTCTGTGTACAAAAGTGGAGTCATTTCCACAAGAGAGCCATTATGTTAAAGCTTTATAAAAAGTCACATCTATATTCAGAACATCTTAATGAGACAACCTGGAATCTGTTTTCATGCATTAGTGATTTTCTCATCGAAAAGGTTGCTCTTGGACCAAAGTACTTTCTTCAGAACAGCCCCATAGCTTAGGCAATGCACTGGCTAGCATCTCACCCTTGTAATTCTTTTCATTAAATTCCTTTTGTAATTTTTCAACCAACATTTCAAGCACCATGGAGTGCTTGCACCCATGTGTAGTCTATATTATAGTATTTCTGGCTCACCTCTAGCTTGGATGAATAAGTGTAATAACAGCATCCATTTCTGATGTAGAACTTCAAGGCCTATTTGACTCCAAGCTTTTTGTCCTTAGGTTCATTTAGAGGAAATGACAAAATATATCACTTCTAGAAAAGGTGATATTGGCTTTCCCAGGTATAGACTTAGTATGAAGGGAGAATGCCTTGTTCAGGCTAGTATGATAAATGCAATGTATCCAATATTTTAAGCACATGCTACCCGAATGAATAAGCCAGCTTAAATTTGGTTTGTGTCTAAAAACAGTTACCCCTAAATATTCTACATCCTCTTATCTTTCAAAACAGTGAATTGATTTGCATTCCCTCCCATTCCTGAACTCTCATTCAAAGGACAGGGATGCATTTATATGTCTTTGTTTTACCTTTTTTTTTTTTGGATATGATGTTCCGCTTTTGTAAAATATGCAATATTTATGCATGCTTGTAGGTTTAAAAAAACACTGCAGCTATCACAAAGAGACTCTTCACGAACTAAAAACAATGTCGTACAGTTATAGAGCATTTGTTACCTCAGTATTTTCAAATATAGAACACTGGTGGGATTGTATGTCTTGTTTTCTGCAGATTTCTTTTCTGTAATGTAAAAATGTTTATATTCATCTTTCCATTCAGTCCCTGACACCATATTTTCCATTGACTATGTTTGTATGGGGATGGGCCAAGGAAAGGGAAATGGAAGCTCAAGAAAAGAGGGTATAATCCAATTTGTATACTGCCTATTCACCTAATTTTTTGCCACTATAATAAGCGGATGAACTTCTCAGCACTGTGTTTTTTAGTCTTCCTTCTGTTGCAATAGGTTTCTTCTCTTCACTTTGATTATATTTTATATATTCTCATCCCCATAGATCTTCAATAATTAAAATAATGTCCTAGAAAAAAATTAAGCCAATTATTTTAAGATGGTTACATCATAGTTCTTATAAGGTCATTGTTATGTGTGCATAAACACACTGTGTCTTTCAAAACCTCCCTTACAAACACACACACACACCCCAAGTAGCAATATGTAGGAGAAATAGCAATCAGTGCTAGCAAAGGTGGTCCAACAGAACTTGAACAATATGCTATCTAAATCTTAAATTTCACAGTCTTAGAGAATAAACAAACTTTTATTTAAAAATAACCGCATCCATGAAATTCTATCCTTCTGGAATCCAAAGTGGTTGCAGCGCTGAAGAAAGCGTGTTAAATGTTGTCTTTAAGTGTCCCCTCATAGTGAAATAGTCACTGAAAGAGCAGTGCGAATCCAGAATTCTTGCTCTTGAGAATCTCTGGTTTCAATGTTGGTAATGATTATCAGGAGAATAACTGTGCCACCGAGATGTTTGGTTACATTCTCAAACTTCTGTTTGTTTTTCTTGCAAGACATATTTGCCTTCTGCTCTACTCAGTGGGATTTGCGGTACCATCTCTGCTATTTTGTGCATTTATTCTGCATCTGGAAGAAATGAGGTTAAAACTAATTTTTGGCTAGAAATGGGCACTATTGGCAGTGCATGGACCTGGGTCAGTCCTCCTAACACCAGGGTGTGGGTTTCCACTGACCTCTCCTCCTGGCAAGTTCCACTCAGTTAATCAAAAACATAATACTCACCTCCAGGAGCTCACTATTCTCTGGCCAAATGAAAAATATTTGACATTACCCAGTAATGAAGAGATAGGGTATGAAAAACTCAAGCAAAAGCTATGAAAAGTCAAAAATTAACTAGGGAAAGATTATGCAGAAGGAATGCCTTTGGAGCTTACCAGTGGAAGAGGGTGGGATACACTACTCAATAGACACGACTCATCCTCACCCTGGTCCCAAGCTCAGCCATTTTTGGTTCACTGACCATTGGGGAATGGAAGAGGGCACATTTTGCCTACCATTACTTCATAGGGTTCTAGGGCAAAACTGGCAACTGATTGTCAATATTATCCAGAAGTGTTTTCCTATTAAATAACAACGTGTACATAGCTGAGACTACTGTACAAAACCAGTTAAGACCCCCTCCAGGAACTAGAAACCCATTGTAGAAGAGCCTATCATCCCAAAAAAACATCAAAACATTTCTTTCTGGTTAG